TTACAGCACTGCCAGAGATCTTCATTTTACTTTTCTGCTCAGCTTCCAGAAAAAAATTATCAAGGAAAGGGAGTTTAAGAGTTGGTATGAGATTCCCAAATGCTCCTCACTAGCAGAGGGTTTGTTTTTGGGCAACTTCTAGAAAAGAAGTGTCCAGTAGGTCCCTCTACGCAGATTTGTGGCCTGCTGTACTTCTGCAACACAGACATACTGGAAAGAAAAGGTAGGTTAAAGAAACATCCAGACTACACACCTCTGCTCTCCTGGCAACTCTGCCCAAGGAGCCATTAACAACACAAAAAAACCCTGCGTATTTCTCATGAAAGAGCAATGTTAAAGGCTATGGGCCTATGATTCAAGTGTGAAAACCTGGATCAAGCCATTCTAAAATGAGACATTCAGACTAGTAGAAGGTCTTAAAATATCCTTGAGAAGAACCTATCAGAGAGGACACAATCAATATAACTCTCTTTGTTTCTCAGGGAGATAGAAATTGACACCATCCATTTTCAAATTCCATTTATAGTTATCTATATAAGCAAACCAGTAAAAGACTCAAAAGTAGTTACAGGAAAACACAGGTTTACCTGGGACATCTTTTTTGACATGGGTGTATGTAGATCCAGAGTGCATCAGTGAGTTTCTTTCACATCTCTAAGCACTGAGCTAGGAGAGGCCCAACTCTCCTAAAAGCAGCAGCAAAGCTGAAACTAAATACACAGACCTGTGAAAAACAAATGAGCCTCCTCCCCCCCAAAAAAGGGTTGGCCTTGCTACTTTGTTCAGTGGGGAAAACAGAAAAAAATCTTCCTTTCAATGACAGTTCACTTACATCAGGTGCTTGTAGAAGCAGTACAGTATTTTTATGGTTAACAAAATGACAAACAGTAACAGCTGACAGACATGTCGTTGGCCATTAGGAAGGCACTGAAAATCTGGAAAACTGGAATTCTTCTCAGAAGTCTTTTCTGGTGGGCGGGAAGAAGAAAGGAGAATATCAAATCAACACTTCTGTGACTTCATTTCAGAGAATTCCCCTACCAAAGGTTTGAGTCGTCAGATTTCCTGAAGGTCAAAGTAGAAAGAGCCAAAGACAACAAAGATACTACACACCTAATCTTGCTCAGATGTATGTTACAACAGAGCAAGCAGAGTTTTTTTTTTTTTTTTTTTTTTAGAATAGCTTCTGCAATTACAGGTCACACAACTTCATTTGTACTGGGAGACAGGTGAAATTGTGAATATTAATGTAAACATTTACTCCAGTAACCATCAGATTTCTCCATTATGATACAACACACTAAAGTGAAGGCAAGCTAATGTTTCTCTGAAATCACAGCAACTTGCAAAGCCTTTTTGAATAGCAGTGAGCACAACAAATGCCTACACACTCGACAGTCTGTATATGAATTAATTTTTAACACATGAATCTTTTCAGCCTGTGGTGAGATCTATGTTACCAGCATGCTGAACCTCAGCTACAGTTTTATGTACCTATGATGCCACACCAAAAAGATGTGCTGAAGATTTTTGAAGTCTCAGTTACATTAATTCAGGAAACAGCACTAGTGAATGCCAAGCAGACATCAGATATCTCTGTTTAAGAGTTGTCTTCGAGCATCCAAAATCAACACTCTTCAAGATACTCACATTTCGTGCAGTTATGCTCTCTTCCATTAAGGAAATACCTGACAGCACCACACCCCCAGATTCAGCAGCAGCACTGGTATCAGCAGACAGGCATAAAACAGGTATGTCACCAGCCACCTCCAGAACCTAGATTCCATCTTTCATACAGGTTAAAGTGAGTAAGGAATAGGGGCATAAGCTATACTACAGCTATCAAAGCAGGCCACTCTCAAACTTGGAATTATTTCCCCTTTCAACTCTCAGGAGAACTCAACTTAGTCAGTCATGATATATGACTTACAGAGGCCTCCTCTACTCCAAGTCAGCTTGAAATGTAATTGATCTGAAGTACACAAATACTAATGAGGTTGATTTATGCTTCCAATAACCCGTACCTCAACAGACTTCACTTACTTAATTTAGGCATTAAGAAACCAGCTGATAATTCAGCAAATCCTTAATAAAACCATTAATGGAGTAACAGTAACTAACTCATTTGCCAAGACCACAAAGTGGAAGAATTGAAGCCAGTACTTTTCAGACTCCTGGAATCATTTCAGTTGGAAAAGACCTCAGAGATCATCAAGTCCAACCTTCCAATCACTGCCACGTTACCACTAAACCATGCTCCTAAGTGCCACATCCACACATTTTTTTAATACTTCCAGGGATGGTAAATCCACCATCCTCTTCACAGCCTGTTCCAACGCCTGACCAGTCTTTCAGTGAATAAGTATTTCCTAGCATTGAACCTAAATCTCCTCTGGCACAACTTGAAGCCATTACCTCTTACCATGTCACTGATTACATGGCAGAAGAGACCAATCCTCACCTGGCTACAGCCTTCCCTCAAATCTCCCAGACTAAACCATGCTTATCTTCACTTAATTATGAAATTATTATCAAAAAAAGTATGATTTACCTTTAACTTCTCATCAGGGTGCAAAACATGAGAACCATAGACACTCCTTGGTGCTTTCTGTTTAGAGTGTGGGAACACATGATGCGTACCAATACACTACCATGGAGCACGTGGCAAATAACTTTGAAGGATATTACAAATACATACATTCCTCAAGTGCAAAAAGTACAACTTCTGTTGTATTCACCTAGGACCTCCAAAAAGGGAATAGTCATATTCATGTGTCACTCTTTAAACTGCTTTGTTAATAGGGAAGCCAACTTTCTTACCCAATTTCTACTGAAAACAAATGCTATGAGTTTTCTAGCACCATTCTTTATCTCAGTACTTTCAAAGCATTCCAACTTTAGAGAATTTATGATCAGCAACAGTATTCTCCCATGTGACATCAGATTTCCCAACCCACGTCTCCATTTGTTGAGACCTTTGCCATACTGATGACATGCACTGCCATCTTGTGTTACGGTTTAGAACTGAAGAAGTCTCAGAAGCTGGGTTTCACATGCTTCCAACTTCCACTGTTTCACCTGCAATTTCTTCCCCAGCCACCGTTCCACATGAGGAGTCTCTCCAGTAATGTTTTGTATATATATGTGTATATATGTGTACATATATATACACACACACACATATATATGTGTACATATATATACACACACACACATATATATATATATATATATATATGTATGTATCTTAAAAGCTAAGATCCAACTCAGGCTGCAACAGATGCAAGCCTCCATGATCCCAAGGAACAAAGTTCATTCTTTTCCATTAACTGATGCAGGTGTTTTCAAGAGGACACAGTTTTTTAGTTTTGCTGGGATAGCTGGTTCTGAATGACATGGATATCATCTTTTAGGTTTGAGCTGCTATTCCTCCAGCACAAGCAAACAAATCCATTGACACTGCATTGACAAAAAATTGTGAGTCTAAGATATTAATCCCTTCCTCAACTTTAATGTGAAGCAGAATAACTGATGTCCCTTTTATGTCCCTGAATTATATTTTGAAACAAGTATTGTTCCCAAAATCTCCTCTGCAAGAGGAGACTGAGGGTTCATTTACCTACAATGGCTGGGTATAAGCTGAGCAACTATATGCTGTGCCAGAAGCACACACTGGGATAGGAGCTCCAGAACAATAAAAGAGGGATGTGAAGTTGTAGATACTTCAGTGGTCAGCAGCCAACCAAACCCTGCTACATCCATCTCTCACAGGGGACATGAAAGCAATCATCTGTCAAACTTCTGAAGTCCAAAGCTGAGTGTACTTACATTGTGACTTGCAATTCCCAAGCCCAGGGGGTGGATCACAGAAAATTATGTGTTAACAAGTAGAAGAAAACAAACTGTGCAACGGTTCTGGGAAAGGACATTAATAGGCTTTGAAGCTGTATTGTACTTGTAAATATGTGCCGAGTGGAAAATCTGTTTTCTTTAAAAAAAAAAACTGCCTTACAATTCGGGTATGGTCATCTAGAAGTAAAAAAGCTTCTGTTGTCTCTATTCTGAACAGAGCATCACAGAACTTCTCTAAGTACACAATCTTTATACAGCCCAAACTCCTAAATCACCCATCTTCTTTCTCACTGGGCATACTATGGAACTGCAAACCATTACTGCATTGTTAACCATTTACCTGACAGCAGCATTGAACCTACCTACTTCACTACTGCACTGCTATTAAACTGGAAATTTTTGCATTACCTTGTCTCTCACACATTATCCGCTGAAATAGAAACATTACAGTAATTCACAGAAACTTAGTCCCAGCAATCAGGAGGCTTCTTTCTTGCTCTAGCAGATAGTTTTTCCTATCATATGAGCTGGCAAACAGAGAATAAATTAAAATTGATAAGCTTTCACTGACCAATTTTGACACAAGCTGAAATTCAGTTTACAAAATTTTTTTGTTTCTTTCTTCCCTCCCTTTCCCCACTCATGCAGAAAAAAGCAAGACACAAGCCATCTGCCATACTAATGTATTCCATCTTTCAAAAAGAAAGACATGATTTTAATATTACTTAACAATATGTTAAAAAAGTAGCCAGTTAGGCTTCAGTGTTAATACAATTATACACTCTATAACAGATTTGATAGTGTGAGTACTGTTCTTTTTTAAATTTTCTCATTCTGCAAGTATTCTTACACAAGCTGGCTACAAGTCAGGAAGAAAAAAAAATCAAAACACAAATAGCGTAACTTGTACACTCTTAAACAGTAGATTGTGAAAGAACTGAGGGAATACTTGTCCCATAAGAGCCTCGTTTTCATGAAGTCATGTCAGGAGAATTCTGGAGCAGATGAAAGCACAACTGACTAGGTCCATTCCTTTGTCAGGAGTCAGAATGACAAAACATAGCTAGATGCAGAAGTGACAGGAGCCACTGCAGATGATGCAACCTAGTATTGGCCTCCACCCAAGCCTAAGCAATTTAAAGTCTCTGAGGCCAAGGCATTCAGAAGGAGATGGAAAAGAGCTATTGTTCCAACTCCCAACGGCATACAGCTACAATCAAGTAAGTCTCACTCACAGACTACAAGCACACAAGCTAACAAATTCAGGTAGAAAGTGGCAATTTTTCAGTCCGCAAGAATTATCAGGCCAAAGGGTTCAGTGCAGATCCACACAGCACTGGGGACAAGGCAAGGCAGCACTGGCTCAAGACCAGATAAGCTCTCAGCACAGCAGGACAGGTAAGTGGAGTTGTCGTTCATCGATTCCTGCAGGGTTCCCTCCCTGTATTGTGTCATTTCAATGTGCAGCAAAGGTGGTTTTTTTTAAGCTAAAATTGGACCAGTTGATGGAAAGTCTCTGCCTTGTCTGTCTGGCAGAATCCAAGCAGAATCTGAAAAGAGAAAAAAGCAATAAAGTGAAATCAATATACTTAAAAATCAAACCACATGTGTTATCCCTCATTTGGAGAGAAGCTCTCATTCAGAAGGTGAAAACCTCATAACAAAACCATACATAAAAAAATCCCTTGTCCATTACTCAAATAGATCATAAACCAATTATTTCTAACACCACTGCATTATCAGGATTAAGTCAAGGAGGTAGCAAAGAATGCTGCACATTCAGCAGCACAAAAGCAAGTTAAATGTCAACTAGAAACAGAAATGGCATTGCTATATTCATCAAAAATTTCAAAAGCATAAGAAGGAGTGGTAGATGGTGTGTAAAGCAGCATCACCAAAGGCAAGGGACACTGCTGCTTCTCTTCCTAACACAGCAAAGCTACACTGCAAAGACCTAGGGAAAGGAGGTTTCTTTACAATACAGAAGATAAGTCATCCACATGCCTGGAATAAATCACCCCTAGAACAAAAATCCTTTGCTTTCACTGACCACAGTTTATGGAATAACTCTGGAAAATGTTGCCGCATGCAGGCCTTTCAGGGACTGTTAATCTGAGCTGAACAATTTTATTGAGGCAAGGTGTAGCTTGTTGAAGCTAAAGTCTGCATGACTACATCAAAGCAGTGCAAACCTCTCTCTCTGGAAGGTTACACTGCTTCTGTAACAACTGAAAGCCAAAAAAAGGGGGGCAGGCAGAAGAAACACAATAAAACAGGTAGAGTGAAGGTTACAATCAGACTTATTTTGTTCTTTCTGTGCTAATGTTAGAAGCAGCGTGCAGTATTAATCATGATGTCAGGGTGTAATTAAACTATCCATCTATTATACCACTACAAAGCAGGAAGAAAATATGATGAATAAACTACAAGTGAAAAATATCAATTCAGTTGGCCTGTGCAGTTCATATCCATTCAGGGTTAAGAAAACAAGCCATGCTACTAGCCTTCCAACTATGCTTGGAATTAACAAATGGTAGAGAACCTAGGCATTAAAGGTGCCTCAATGACATTAAGTAGCTGCTTTTCTCCCCTAAAACAGCACCTATCAGGGCTTTTCAGACACCTTTTCTAAACAGGTTTCCATAAAAAAACTAGACAGTTACACACACTCCTTAACAGATGACAGTCAAGGAGTAGAGTCCACCAATTAGTGAATGGACTAGAAAACAGCATGCTTTAAAGTGCTAACTCTTTAGTTGGACTCACATTTGACAAATTTATCTCCGAAATTCAACTACATCTCTACAAATGTTTCATCCTGATGTTTCATATAATGTTTCATCTATCCTATTGAGAGTAAATAACTGATGAACAGAACTTCTCTCTTTACTGCAGAAACTGCAAACTTGAAGAATACTGCATAACAAAGGCTCATGTTATATCAATACTAGGAGTATCTAACATATGCCATATTTCATCTGTAAAACCTACATTTTGATTTTTTAAAAAATTCCTTAATTGGTACCACTCAAAAATAATTTTTAAGGCTAGAGACCATATACCTGTGACAGTTGCATTGTTGTGCTCATTGTAACTCCATAAATAATCAGATATATGCATTTTGTGGCAATAATGAGCAGCAGTTGTACTCAGTTCTTTGCAAGACCCAGACACACATTACATCCCAGGCATGTAGGCTATGAAAACTATATACATTTAGAAAAGAAATCCATACTGAAAGTCCTTCCTTGTAACAAATGGCTTGTGCTGCTTTGTGAAATACTACTGTTGAGTCCTAAATTATTTAATTGCAGGAAACAGAGCTATTTGTGACATTACAGATTTGGCTACCATAATGAAAGATTCACTACATGTATTCATGAGGAACTAGCATGACCAGACACCAATGAAGAACAAATTTGAACAGATTTTAGTATTATGGAAGAACACGTGCTATACTATTTACACACAAGCTGTCTCCTCGTATTTGAGGAACTTAGAGGTAACTAATACCACAGAATATTCTGACTTGGAAGAGACCCGCAAGGATCATCAAGTCCAGCTCTAAATATGATGCACAAATCCCAAAATCAACCAAAAAGTACAGAAGAAAAAGCTTTCACAAGCACAGGTTTGAATTATTCTTTTACTGCCACTGTACTAGGTCAGATGAAGAAGGTTTTGAACAACTTGTCCTAGTGGAAGGCGTCCCTGCCCATGCAGGGGCATTGGGAAAAGATGGTGTTTAATGTTCCTTCCAATGCAAGCCTTTCTATGATTCTAAGATAAGCACCTCCTCTTAAAGACTAGCATAAGACACTAGCCCACAGTTATACACCTCTACTTTATGCACAGTATAAAATTTCCAACTAACAGCTTCTGTAAACAAGGAAGAAGCCAAAATGAACTAGACCTTTCTTAACAATCTGTCTGGAAACGTAAACCTAATCACTTTTTTCTTTGAAAAACATTAATCAGTATTTGGCCTGTGTGGCTAATAAAGGAAATATTCACATAAACTTTACTTATAAATAATGGTAATGGAGAAAATTCTTAAGGCCTTGATGAGAACCTGGGGGTCACAGATAATTCTGGGACTCGCTTCTGAATCTGTGCTGTTCAGCTACAAGCTGTGTCCACAGATCACAGCTTTGGTGATTGTTACAGTGCTCAGAACGTCAGCTGTGACTGAATTTGATGTGTTACAACACAGGCTTTTCTGTGGTGTGATGCTGTTTTTGCTTGTTTTACAACCATGACATATGAAAAGAAGCAACAACAGCTTTTATGCACAGGCATTACAGGACTTTACCTTTTAAAATACTCCACTTCTCGTTCTGTTTCATCCATTTCCACACTATCTAGATCAATGTCTTTGGGTAGAAACACATCATCTACAAAGGAAAAAGATGACACTACGTTAGATTCCACGAGGAAGGTGGAAGGAGAGAGGAAGAAGCTGCATTAAAGACGTCTTTGGAGAACTGACTGAACCTCGTGGACAATTCATTATTCATATTTAAACTGAATTAATACACACTTATAATTAAAAAGACACATCTTAAAACCTCTATGCCAGTATCTCTGACAGACTTGAAGGAGTTACATTGGTAAAGAAGAGATGATTTAACAGTAAATATACTAATTGCATGGGCTGCAAAAGATACCATAAACCTGGAATACACATAAGAGTAACCAAATCATGCAGAGGGCTTGATGAATCAATTAAACAGCTGTTTAATGCATGAAATTTTTGGTCTTACTGCTAAAAACATAGGCTCTGTGGTGACTTCTTTGCTATAGCTGAGGCCATACAATGTCCCAGAAGGAGTACAGCAACTCTACAACCTAGAAGTTACAAAGTATTTTTCTTTATAAATACTGGTTTTGAACTGTTTCTAGAGCTATCTCAACATATGGCTCTCTTTTGGACTTTAAAAAGAAATGCATCAGAAACCACACATTTTTGTAGAAACTAATTTGAACATTTTCCTCTTGAAGTTTCTTTTTCACTGCACATACACTTGAGTCTCATTTCTGAAGTAGCTTTACAATACTTTTCAAAAAACAGGTGAGACAAAGAAAATAACCAAAACCTTCAAATACACACGTTGACTACAGAATCCTTGAGATTATGAAAATAGACAACTCATGGTAAAGACACTCATGGTAGTTTTACCAGTTGCATGTATTTGCTATTCAACTTACTTCTGAGGAAGCAGAAAGCCCTACAAACACAGGGCTTTCCTAGCTTTCTTGAGCCATTTTATAAGAGGGAGTAAAAATACTCTGCCAGAAGAAATTTCTTTAAGAAACAGAGATCTCACCAAAAGTAGTAATATTCACTGCTTTAACACTTCATTTGAAAACTCAGTTAAAGCCCCCTAGCTTTGTTTCCCTCTTTTTATGTTCTCTCAATTGCCCTATTTCTACTTTTTTTCCCCTCTGTGTTTTTTTTTCCTCAGTTCAACTTTTGTCTCTTTGCTAATTTGGTACATCAAGCCCATACCTTAAAAAAGTTATAATTACATGAAAAATCGGGTATTACAGTATCTTTCTTGTAGCTCTCAAGTCAGAACTACTTAAAGAAAAAATCCAGTCCCAAGTCTACAGAGCACAGCACAATTTTTTCTTGACAAATTCAGAAACATGTACCTGTATTTTTTCACATTTAAACATTAACTTTTGGAGACTGTAAGTACACTTGACTTAAGTAAGAGGAAAAAGAATAGTGGGGGCAGGGAGGACGACAAGATTCAGGAAGGTACCTGCATTCTACAATAAACACCCTCTTCCATATTTTCTCCTTCAAATGTCTCCAGTCTTCTCTTTCTGATCCCAGTTCTGGAGTTCTGTCTTACTCCAATCACTGAGTACATTCTTCTCGATAAATTAAAAGAGCCAAAACCCAAACATACCACCACAGAGTATGCACAAGCTAAGGTGTCAGAGAAAATGGTTCCATACTCTATTGCTGCTCAACTGACATAGAATGGAAATATTAGGTATCAGATTTAAAAACAAAGACAGTGGGCTGACCCAATCCAACCATGAAATCACTAAAAAATCCGCTAGCGCTTCCTGCAACCAGGAATTAGCTTTACATTTCTGTAACAAAGCTTAACAAATATAAGTACTCTAAAGCACTGGTAGAGACTGCCAAGGCATGAAGATCTCCTGTCTGGCTGTGCCTACCAGTCAGAACAGCAGTGAGAACTGGTGTACACTGAATTTATGCAACATGACCACTCAGCTACCAGGTGGGGAATGACAGGGTGCTCTGAGCAGACAGATATCCATACCATAAAACTGCCACCTCAACTGGTATCCCAGTAGGGACCAAAGAGGTGCAGGAATAAAGAGGTGCCCAAGAACAGCAGTTTGACTATTGTGCTGTCAAAGCCAATGGGCCAGACCTGTGTGCGCTTTCAGCTCTGGTATTAGGTGTTGGACGTGTTCAGGCAAACAAAAAAACTAAGTTGGAAATAAAATTATTGAAGTGCAACTTGCTTCACTTAATCTTCTACAGTTGTATTATTTCTGAGAAATAAAAAAAAACCCTGTTTACTAGAATGAATATGGAGAACAAACTCAACTTAATCAACTAATTAACATCCCTCTACAACTTTTCACTCTACCAAATAAAAAATTGTAAATTAGTTTCTGTATTCATTCACTTACCTGTTGATGTAATTAATATAAGAAAGGAACTATTTCCATGCATATTTATGCATGAATGGCCAGTCTTTGACTGCAGAATCCCCTTATTTCCCTTGCCTAAAGAGTAAGACCAACTTCATACTATACTCATAATGCTATGAAAAACAATCTTGCTTTTAAAGAAATGCAAAACGCATTTCAACATAGTATTGAATTAAACAATATATTTATTTTAAGCAAAAAAAGAAAGCCTGTCTCCTGGAAAGCCTAACGGACAAACCCCCTACAAAACCTAGAGCACATGCTTACTCATTTGTTTTTGAAAGCATCCTATACTTTTTTACTAAAACGCTATCCATCTCTTAATTGTTGCAATTCTGATGACTTGAGTTTTCTTGACACCAGTTTTTCAGTTTCTCTGATTTGCAATGGCAGGAATGCCTGAAGATAAATATGTCAGACATCTGGAATTAAATAGTAAGAAGAGAAAATAACCCAAGTTCTTCAACTTTCTTACACACTTACCAATGGAATTGTTGACTTTGTCTCCTTTTTTCTTCTTGTTTTTCTTGTTCTTGCCTTTTGGTTGAGGAGAATCTGCAAGTATTAGCTTATTATTTTGCTGCTGTTCACTTGGTGACGGGGATTCACTTGTTACGGGTGCTTTCTCTTCCTTTACATGGTTCAACTGCTTTTTGTTGTTATTGTTTAATTTCTTCTCATCTTTTTTAGGTTCTGCAAGTGTTGGGAGCTCTGCTGCTTTTGCTTTGGATTCTATTTGGTTTCTGGTTTTAGTTTGAATCTCAGCTGCTTTGGGGGCTTCAACAGGCTTTTTCACTTGTTCAACACATTGTTTGTTCATCTGTTTTAGTTTCTGCTTGCTGTTTCCTTCTTTATGTTGATGCATAATATCAAGCAGAAAAGAGAGGGGCTCATGCTGCTTTACACTGCCCTCTTTCTGATAAAGCAGCTTCGAGTCTCTAGTGTTGACAGGATTGGACAGTTCACAGTCCGTCTCTAGAACTGGCCTCTGTTCTGTGTGATTCACATGCCTTGACAGTGAACCAGCTGAGGTTTCCATCTTTTCTGATTGCTCAAGGGTACCATTCTGAATGTCTTCAGGTGCATTTGGGACAGGTTCCTTCACTGCCTGGCAGTTCCTAGTGAGCAGATCTGCCTTTGGACAGTCCTTACTTGTTCTCTCTTTCTTCTTTTTCTTTACAGCCCGCAACTGCTGAAGCTCTTGGAGCCGTTGTAATTCCTGTTTCAGTCTCTCTTCTTCCTCTTCCTCACGCCGCCTCTGCTCCTCCAGCAACTGGTGATGCTCCCTCTCCCTGGCTTCAGCTTCAAGTCGAGCTTTCTCTTCAAGCTGCAAAATAACAACAGGTTTATTGAAAGTGACAAATATTTTGGAAATTAGAGCTTCAGGGATTAATACTACTTTTCTTTAAGAACATTATAAATCCTAGGATGTGAACATATGAACATACTTCATCTGTAAGTTGGCAGAGCAAGCAAATAAGTATACAAAGGCTGCCGTTTAAAATACACTACAATCCTTTCTCTATTCACATTTTCTATGTTTCTGTAACTCATTTGACTTTTTAATATCAACTGTTGATTTTTTTCTTCCCTACTGCTAAGCCTAACTTCATGTCAAAGTTTTCTATAGCCACAAAACATTCAGCTTTCTTCTCAAAGACTGCATGTGTTTCTAAGGTAACTCAAATTTGCCTTTACCTGTTCTCTTGCTATGGTAGCAGAGCTGCTCTGTTTCAGAGACCAGTAATGTTAGGAAGAAAAATAATTAAAAACATTCTGCACCAAAACACTAAGCAAATAATAGTTATATTAAAAGTTGTCAAAAATTCTAAGGATGGCAGTTTTCCATTGTCAGCCATTAGTTCATTAACCAAAACAAAGACATAAGGGATTTTGCTAGCCATTACTGCCAATGCCTAAACTTTGCTGTCCAGCATTGATCTTGCATCATTAGCAAAATGAAACAGTCATACAATGAGAACAACCCTGACCATTTATTTTCCTGCACATTTAGAGGCGTCTGTATGGCATTACTTTTTCACAGTTACAGAAATCATTCAAAAAATGAGAATTACTCATGAGAATGATCCTGTGGGAATTTTCCACTTCTTATGATCAAACTGCACTGTAAGAACAAAGTGAATTTAGCACTGCAAATTTTACAAAGTTAATTTTATTTATAAATAATCCACTAAACCATCAATATGCTGAACAAAGCTGCAACATGAACACATAGAATTCAACTTGTGAACATTAGGTCTTCCAAACCCATGGAAGCATTTAAAGAATGCAGAAGTAGTGCCAGAAGAAAATTCACAAACAAGAAAATATTTGCAGTGTGATCACATAACACACTTACCCAAAATCAAAAATATTCATTTATACTTATGGCTGATACTTGAATTGCTCTAAGAAAAGGTTTCCTGCCTGTCCCAACTTACAAGAAAAGCCTATTTCCTCTGTTATTCCTCTTTCGTATTTCCTCTATATTATCCTCAGCAAATACTGTTTCCAAAAAAATAATTTCACTGCTACACATTGGAGTTTTTTAGAAATCTTTTTTGCCAATTTTCATTTGAAAGCAACCTGTAATTTCTTCTTCCCTGCCGCCTCCCTGCAGCTTGCCACTCCAGCTTGGGATAAGCCTTTGTGTCATCACAAGGAAAATCACCTAACATCTGTCAATCAGGACCAGCAAGATGTTCAGGGCAATTATCCTAAAAATACCAAATCATAACTCTTCCTCTCTCATAAAAGCACTGACCTATGTTTCCTGGTTTCCTACAGCGATACTTTATCAAAGCCACTATCCCAGTACAGAAACACCAACTTCACAACTTCCCCCGCTTTTAAATGTCAATGCTACAAAACAGTAACATTTGTAACATTTCTGATACTCAGAAATAACCTTCTGAAGTGTGGGAAATTCCAATATAAAGCTGACTTGCACCAAAACACATGACAATGGCATTTTGAGGAATCCTCCCAGTTTAGTACGTAACTCCTCAGGTAGCACCAAAACAGGTAAGCCAGTTGCATAAAAACAAACTGGCAGTGTACCACAAACTACACAAAAAACAATTACAGCATGAGGATAAATCACTGTACAGTGACAGTGGCATACTTAAGGGGAGTGCACAGATTCAAAAGTGTGAGGTCTAGGATAAACATACTTTTACATCTTACCTTTCTTTGCTTATGCCTGGCTCGCTTGGCTGCACGAGAACTGCTTACTGGTTTGGTTTCAGAGCTGTTTATAAACTGTAGCAAGTCTTCCACCTTTCGATGGTCAACAACACTTTCCCTTTCAGAGATCTGATCTGGTTTTTTCGGCTGCTCCTCTTTCCTTTTTGTTAAACGTAAACGAAGCTTTTCTCGCATCTCTGCATAATTCCTACTGGTTGGTGCAGCTGGAGGCTGAATGACACACAACAAAAATTGAGTAACTAAATAAAAATATGTCAGTGACTTAATGCTTTTGAGATTTTGAAATTTCAAAATACTCTCCCTTCAAATAACATGGGAGGTCCAAACCTGACTATCAAACTCATTGTTTGTATGTGAACTTAAAGTGTATTTAACAGGCAAGAGACCTGCCAGACTTGGTGCTGGCTTCTGAACTATATTTTACAACTGAAAGAACAGCTATCTTGAGGAAGATGGCATGAGTGAGAAGACAACAAGAAACCTCTAAAAGCAAGAAAAAAAGACTGCGACTTTTATTTCCATATTCTCATGTGATTGGTATGCTGTGCTTGGAAATTTCAAAGGAGCAGACACTGGCTCTGTTTTTATTTCCTATGAAATCTATTTCAGAGGTTGAGCTACACAAGACTCTGGGCTGTACCTGTTAAGGGCTGACTATCCTGCACAGAAACCTGCCAATATACCCTCCAACAGAGTCCCATCAATAACAACACTGCTGCAAGTGGAATCCTTGCATCATGTTCCACATCTGTATTCCCAACTGCTGCTCCTGCCTCTCAACTTCTCATTGCTTCTCCCCCTGTCGATGCTTTATGTTGCACCTGTGTTCTGGCCTTCTGATGTTGATGGAATTCTTTTGCACTTTCTCACACTCTTTCTGGTGAATATTCTGGTTTTGCATTCCTCCTTGGAGGAAGAGAGAATTGAGGGACATGTGATGAGCTAATGGAGTGAAGAGGTCTTACCATCACTGTCCAATCCATGATCATTGCTGGAATTCTATAAATAGACATGTAATGTAAATAAAGTTCTCTTTTCCTGCTTGACTTCCTTCGAGTCAGGTGTGAGTCTGTCATTCTGTGACAGCTTTACCCTCTCTGCTCCTGGTACCAGACCTGCTGCCCATCTGTTGGCAACTACTTCAGTTCAACTCACTAAACCAGCAAAACAAAGCCTATTAACTTAAAAATCTGGCCACTTCAAATGAGTAACTTACTGTGCAGTCAAGCACAAATCAAGCATGGACATGGTGGGAACATGCAAGGAGAAATGGGATCCCCTCCCTGGCCCCTTTAGGCCACAGGGGCTTTTAATTCACTTGAAGAACTAAGATGAAACTGACCTGATCAAATACGTGGCAAATAAACCGAGCTTTTACTTCAAATAGGAAAAATGCCAGTGACTCAAATTGTACCAGTATAAAACAGGCCATACATAAGTTTACAAGTTAAGAAAAAATTAATGTGTTCTATTTTAGCTAAGAATCTAGAGTTTTTTCTTTTTTTCTCCCTTTAAAAAATTGTATTGAAGTGAATACTTTGAGGATTGCTATTCTTACACATTGTGGACTAGTTGATAAATTGCTGTAAAGATTCAAACTAATACCCTATATAAAGCATACTTTTACCCAGCCTCACCACATTAATTTTAACTACAGTACTACAAAGGCATGAATGAATTTCGTAAAGTTATTTAAATGGCTCAATTCCCCTGTTTGCAGTTTCAGTCAAACATGGCATCTATTATCCAAGTCAGTTGCCTCCTAAATTTTAGTCAGTTTTATTGCTCTTAAATGCTTTGAACTGGAAAGGTTTATTTCAATCCTTCATTTCAAAGAGGAAAATTACTTTTTAACTCCTTTTACAACTTCTTGAGTGAGTTCCAGTGCCATCCCCTAAGATGCAATCTGATAAATCACATGCAACCGATGATGAGTAAGTGACAAAAAAGCAAACAAAAGCATTTAAATTACAAAAACTTACTCCTCCATGGCCGAAGAACTCACAGTAACAGCAGTCACAGTATTTTCCTTCCTTCTGATTTGTGGAAGTTGAGGTACTGGAGCTATGCTCTGAACAGCTATCTTCATCCTGGCTCTCCTCTCCATCATACTGCTGATGATCATACGTGTTACTGTTCTCACAGCGATGGCCCTCACAATCAGGATCACTATGTTAAATTAAAAAAAAAAACTTATAAAATCTTAATGATAATAAATAAGGTATATAATATTATTATATATAATAATTTTTTTAAAGAAATATATACATGTCCTGCCTCTACCAGGAGCAATGGCTCTCAAGCAGCCACTAGTGATTCATCAAATTCTAAAGCTTTCATTCACTAGCCTGCAAATGGAGACATTTAAAACCAAGTATTAGGATAAAATGATACACAGGAAAGTGATCTCTAAAAAACTAATGGAATTACTCCCTGAACAAGCAGACTAGAGAGTGAGTTTTGTAATTGTTCTTCCTGGCTTTAAACAGGTAAAGTATTTTAGAAGAAGTGACTAGCTTTTTAAAATGGAGTAGTTTTGAAACTGCTGCCCATCTCACTTGTAGCATCAAGGTTTCAAATGCAGTTGCAAATCTCCTGGTCTTAGATTTTCAAGCTCTTGGCTTAAAAAAAAAATCCAAGGTCAGCTAAAGCCTAAAAGTTCCCATTACCCTGTCTGCAACTTTATTTTGAAGGGGAAATACTAGCACATCTCCTTAATAAGCAGGCACATGTTATTTGACTCCCCCAGAGCTCTGTATAACTGTGCAGACACCATTTCTACTGCCCAGGTCTTCTAAAACTGAGGTGATTCTGCTTTGAAAGAAAGTAGTATTTAAAAAATCCCCTCTCTTGTCTCTCATTAGTATTTCTTTGTTCTAATGTTAGAAAGGTGAAAACAGTCTGACTTATCTACAGAATATGTATAAATTTTCCTTCTAACCTCACTCTCCCTCCCCAGAATGCAATCACTGCTTCTGTGTCTGCCAGTTAAGGTTTTTGTTTTTTTTTTTTTTTTACAAACTAAAAATACCATGTTAGCACCTGGAAACTATGATAAAAAGTTGGATTTCTACTGTGTCCATATTCAATTATGTCCCTGCACTAGGTAAGAAAAACTCTTTACAAAATGGCAGTAGTTTCTCAAGTATGAAAGAACAGTCACTTATCTTGAGATATCATCAATAAAACCCGTTGATAACAGAAATAAGGGCACTTTTAGAAGCATTTACCAAATCTACCTAAATCTCACAACATCTTCTGAAAACTTACAGCAGCCAGGAGACTACATTCATAGCATCCATGATCACAGTCCTACAGGTCACAGAGAGCTTAGAGCAATGACTCAACTGCTTTTCTGTTATGTCTCCACCCTTCAGACACATCAAAGGGCTGGCACCATTGTCAGCCTGCCACAGTACATAAAATGACCAGAAGACAACCCCACCAAAGTCCTTCCCGGCTCCAAGACCTTTGAAAACCTTCAGAAACCACAAAATCCTTCCAAACTAAAACCACTTTATAAAGGGTAGGACTGATATCTAAGACGTCTTAAGTGTAGCCAGGAAAATGTGTCACTATGTGGCAGGTTTCAGGATCTCTTTATATTTTGAGCTAAATTACAGAGTAAGTTTTCACAGCTTTCCTTCCTGCTTGCCACGTAATGCCAAGATGACAGAAAACAGGTAAGTTACACAAGAGGTTTGTGTCTCAGCAGCAGCAATCATTAACCAGTAATCAGAGTAAGAAAGAACACTCTGACTTGTATATCCCAGGTAACATTTCTAAAAGTGAGCAAACATCTGCTTTCAAGCCTCTAAATTCAGTAACTGGAGTTCAAAATTAAATCATGTTTGTGAAGTCTCACACCAAGTTACACACTAAATATCTGCACTTGGTCCCATTTGCTGAACACAAACACAGCTTTCACACTACAACCAGTGGCAAAGGAGAAGAGGTTACCTATTTTCATTTTGTTTCCACTGTAAAAGGGAATGGCAAGAATAACAACAAACTTACCTGCAGACACTTGGTGGGGCACTTACAGAGCTGTCTGTGGTTGAAGTAGGAGGTGCAACTGTAGTAGGACAAAGACCTGAATGAGGATCCACAAATCCAGGGGCTGTTGCAGCAGTTTTGGGGAATGAAGGAGCAGCAAGATTTGGAAGATGCGGTGTGGAGGCTGGAGACAGTGCTGCAGGAGACAGTGAAGGAAGGGATGCTAAACTGGTAGGACTATTTCGTGGTGCAACTGGTGCAGAATGTCTGTGGTCCTCTTTATTAATATTGTGGAACACTTCACCTAAATTGGGGGAAAAAAGAAACCACTTACAGTAAAAAATAATTATTAAGTCCCCATAAACCATCCATAAAATCATATAAAGTACTTTTTATCCTCAGCTTCTATATAAATAGCTGTATTTAAACTCCTTTGTATTACCAGTTTCAAACCCTAACATCAAGGTCTTTCACAAAGTTCTTCAATCCAGAAGTACAGAGATTAATTCAAGAGTAATAACAGAAATTAAGAAAAATCAAGACTTGTAATATTCTACATTTAACACTTACATAAATCCTTATGGTTAGCTAAACGTACTTGAGCCAGTTACTGAAGCTGTATGTGAGTTACAAATCCTTACCTATTGATGAAGGTCTCTTGGATGATACTTTGAACTGGTTGCTGCTTGACTGCACTGTAGTTGCTGTGCAGGAGACAGAAGAAGTTGCAGAAGAGGTTGCCATGACAACTTTATTAGCTTCCATAAAGGCATCCTGGAAATTGTACAGACATTTCTTCTTCGCAGCATTTTTTTTCTCTTTGCTGTCAGTAACTGCTGTTGTTTCATTGCTAGATGTAGTAGGAAGTGCTTCGGGTCTTATTTCTGAGAGTGCTGGTGCTAATATATCACTCCCTTCAATTGAAACACACAGAGTAATTAAGAATCACATAATTACTGGAGTGTCTTTATAGAGTCTAGAATTACACATTCAATAATTCAGATGTAGACACAGGATATATTGTTAATGCTGCATTAGTAGGATTAGTGAAGGGAATCCTCTCCTTTTCCTCTCCATCCTCCCAAATAATGTAGCTGTAACAAAATGTGCTGGAAGTCTCAGAGCAGAATCATAAACCCTCAAGAGAGAACTCTGAGAATGTTACTATATGTGTTAACAAGTAGCAAATGTGTTACAGATACCTTCATCCATTTATAATTAAAAAATTTCAATTGGACAACGTTTTACATGCTAAATATAGGATCTCCACTATCTGAAATCCAGGTAGGCCACAAAAAAATAAGATGGAACAACATATCCTTTTATATATACAAAATGATAAACCATTTATTTATTTATTTATTTGAAATTCCAGTTAACAGAAACACCTTTGTGATAGATCTCACAGATGAGTCTGCCACCAACCATCTGTTGGAACAGCTACCCACAACTACATTTGTAAAGGGATGAGCTGTCCTACTGGGGAAGTTTTCAGGACATTTTTAATGCCTTTCTTTTTAAGTACTGTTGTAGTAGCCTGAACAACTTAGCAGCAGATGAGTCTGAAAAAGAAAGCCAACACACAAACCCCCCAAGACTTCTTTTTTATATAAGTCGAATAAAAAAAGAAGGCTTTTTTGTATTTGCTAGGATGTGAATGGAAAGATTTCTCTCTCTCTAATTTTCTTTTTTTCTCTTTCACTTTAACCATTAGGATTTGCAAATGCTTCCTGGCTTAAATTAATCGTTTTCTAGATTTATGCCTCTGTCTTTCTGAATGATAATGCAGTTATCTGTGTGCATTGTAAGAAACAGGACACACTGCCTCATTACTAGTGCTCTTACTACCCTGTAAAAATAAGGCAGGGTTTTGTGGAGAAGTTTAAAAGTTATTTAAGTTTTCCTTTACTTGCCATTTCTTTACAATATTAAACTTCTGAAGACAAACATAACTCTACAATGACCACAGCTGAAAACCAGCATGCTATTTGTTTGCCTTCAGCATCTTTTCCCCAGGAGGTAAGAATTTATTTTTCAATTTTCAGCCCAAGTGAAGTAGAAGTGGCAGCAAATCTGCCAGAATCCCATCTTATAAAACCATGGCGATAAAACCCACCATTCCTGAAAAGAAACATAAAACATAAAGCTTTTAACTAGTCAGTGTGAAGTAGTAACAAACCCTCACCAGGAATTGTGTCAGGCAAAAATGTAGCAGGATTCCAGTTCTTGTCATTCATCACCTCTGAACCCCAAAGACTTATAAATTTAGAGCTATTCCAATCTGGAGTGCTTCCAAAACAGCTTGGATAAATATGATCTTGGAGAGATGCATTGAATACTTGATGCTTGTTTGTATGGTTCTGAACTGGGGCTGGTGGTAATGCCTACAACAAAAACAGAGTATTTTCTCCATTAATATTCTGTTTGCTTACACAGTCACTCCAACAGCAATATTCAAATCATAGTGTTTTAACCAGGAAAAGCATTATCAAAAGCATAATAGACACGATTTCGCAGAATGATAAAAAGACTAATTCCTTGATAATTGTCGCATATATTGCGGATTGTATATACATGTATATATTTTACACTCACAAAGCATTGCTTTTAGAATCAACTAACTGATGAACAAAAACCATTCAAATCTCAAAAAACAGTTGTGTTAATATATAATTAAAAGCAGTATTTGCATGAATTTAGAACTTGTTAGGAATCACTACCTTTCAAAGCATAAGCTGCCTAAACAAACCAATCTTCTTTGACGTGACAATTATTACCACAGAAGACAACAGTGGAAATAAGGGCAAGAGAAAAAGAAATAAAACACATAAAACAAAAAGTTGGTTATTTTCTTCCTTTTTTCATTTTCAGGTGGCTCCTAACTTAAAATTAACAGGCAAAGAATACACCCTTTCCTTTTAAGAACCAACTCGGGGTTGGGGGGGAAGGAAGCACACACTTTTTCTTGTTTTCTAAAGACACGTTGTTCGGGCTCACCCCATTTCTTCTGGATGAAATTGTTTATACACATTCTAAAATAACCTTTTTCCCGGAGACCTCATGCAACATAAACATTATATTCAATTACTGCCACCTTTAAAAAAGCCAAGGAAAAGCAGGTTTGTTCTCTTTTTATAATAGATTTGATGCAAATTAAAAGCTACGCAGAAGTAGATGAGATATTAAAGTTATCAGTTGAGTCCAATGACATTTCAGACATGAAACTCATGGGCAAACAAACTGCTTATATACCTAGTCTCTCTTTTTCATAAAAAAGGATTTTCATTATCTGCCTAATGGTGAACGGGGGAGAGGCTGGAATAACCTGCATTGAAGAAAATTTGTATACATGGGTGCAAAGAAACAATACGGTTTTGAAACAACAGCAATGGGTTGCTGCTGGCACATTGCAGCTACGGAGCAGAAGTAAGGAAGAGACACCCAAGACAGGAAAACCCAAAGTGGATGTCAAGAAGGACAAAAAGAGCAAGTAAGAGTCATCTTGGTGGATTATTCTACTCTCCTTGCAACCTTGATCACTGGATCAGACAAGAGATGACAAAGATGTACCTAATGACAAAGGCTTTGCCCCTCAGCAGCACCCACAGCTCAGCTGCTTTAAACACATAAACACATGTGAAATAACATCCCCATTAATAGGAATGCTTGGTTTAGACTCATATTTCTGAAAAGCTGTCACTTGGTCCCAATTTTTGTTCCATACCTTTCTCTTGTTTACTACTTGCAGGTTTAAGGTCAAAAGAATTTTGCAGAGCCTGCAGAAATGCAAGTTCTCTTAAAGGACAAAAAACCCCTTACAAATATGAACTAAGACTTCTATGTCTCTGTTTTCTCAAAAAACCCAACGAGCTCCAACCAAAAAAAAAAGAGAAGAATCCACAAAAATTTTAACTACAAATCGCAGAATATTATTGCCAAAATGAAATACTAAATCTTTCTGATATATATGAAATGAAGATGTAATAGTTCTCTTACACTGACTGAAGTCCCATCACTGCTTCCAGCATGCAAGACTCATTTGATTCAATATGCTTTCTAATCACAGTGAGACATTATCAGTCTTCCTGACAAAAAAATACCCTCAGTCATTCTGGACGAACCTTCCAGCAGTTCTGAATTTGTCTTACTCCCTGCCCCTCACCATTCCCTGCAAAAGGAGTATTATAACCAAACCACGATTTAAAGCAACTTCTTATTGTTTCACTGACACTCAGTCATGCTGGTTTATACAGTTGTACAGAATTTTTCCATGGATGGAGATGCATCCATCAGGCTTACCTTATTGTGTGTGAAGGGAGAAGCAGTGTACAAGGTGGGATGGATAAGTGGACGAGGCAGATGAGGAATCGTATGCAATGGTATATGTCCATGGATGTGAGGATAAAGATGAAGTGCAGGATGTGCAGGTTTTTCAGGATTCATAAATTGGTGCCCAGCAGGCAGGCGTCCAGTTGCAAGTGCAGAGACTGTTAGTCCTGAGGCTTCTTGTTTGCAAACGTGACATTCACAAGCATTTGGACCTTGGTCAGCCTATAAAAACCCCAACAAAACCCATTAAACAATTCAATCTACTCAACATGCATAAAATCTTAGTAATCAGTAGTATTATTTCATTTTGCATACATCAATTAATATTTTCAGAGCATCCACAGAAGTTTTTTCTAGTACCAATAGAAAGGCCTCATAGTGAAGCAAAAGCACTAGTGAATAATCTCTTACTTAGAAGAATACCCTAAAAACTGAGAGATTTCATACCATACAGAGATTTAATGTCCACTTTCAGTGACAACAAACAAAATACTGATACAAACCTTGACAACATTTGATCATTACTAGGCAACTACCCCAGTATAAAAAGAAAAAAATGAACTAGATTAGTATTTTCCACAATTTTCCAAGCATATGGAAAAAAATAGGTGTAGGAAGTAGTGCTAAGAGTTGATTAGCTGATAAAATCAGAAGCAGTCCTCAGCTGCATTAGGCAGAGCACAAACAGCAAGCACTGGTGAGACCAGTGCCAGGGTCAGTTCCAGGATCCCCAGTATGACACATGGGGACACTGCTGTCAGACCACTGAAGGACCACAAGGATGGGAGCATCTGTCAAGCAGCAAATGAGAGCACTAGGACTGTTCAGCCTCAACAGAGACTCAGTGGGATCTCACCAGTGTGTCTTCCCTGACTGGGTGGGGAAGGGAGGAACAGAGAGAACAGCACCAGGTTCCTCTCAGTGCTATCCCATGAAAGGATCAGAGGAAATGGACACAGACTGAAATACAGGAAATTCCCCTCAAACCGCTCATCAATGAGAGTGGCTGAACACTGGAACATAGCACCTACACAGTTCTAGAGCCTCCACTCATGGTGGTACTCAAAACCCAACTGGACACTGAGCTGATCAAGTTTCTCTAGATGATCTTGCTTTGACCAAGAAGGTTGGTCTGGATTATCTGCACAAGCCCCTTCCAAACTCAACTGCACTGTAAATGTGTGAGGCTGACATTTCTCACAAAAATTTCACAATCACACCAATCATGAAAAATCCACACTTCAGGAACTTGTACTGATCTCAAAGTATCAGCCTCTGTTGTCTCAAAAGAACTCAAGACTTTAGAAGAAAAGCAGCCAGGAAAGAGCAGCTCTATTTCCCTTTCAGCTCATAACTGTTTCCTGCCACTGTCACCTGACATTTCACTGGTAGATAATTTTACCAGCAGCAATACCAAGACTACTTGCCAATTTCTCCTTTTTCCCCACCAATGTGGTAGTTCACATTTTTCCAAAAATGTAACATTAAGTATTAGCTTTCTAGAGAAGAACTGACAGGTGATGCTCTTCTTAAATATCCCTTCCTCTCAGAAACAAGTAACTCATCATTATCACTTAAAAGCAATACAGCCTATAGCAGAAGGTGTATTTTAACAAATAACAGATTTCATAAACCAAATACAATGACTGAATTAATTTTGTGTATTAAAAAAACAAAAAAACCCTTAACTTTATAACAAAAAAAATAGTACTATCCAGAAATCAACACTTATCTACTAATAAATGAAAATGGGAAAAGTATTTCAAACAAACTGATGAGACTCAAAACCCAGTTCTGACAAACTGGGTACTGAAAAGGAATCCAAGAGAAACAGAGATACTGGGTAAATTAGCAAATTCAAGAGGTAATGCCAAAAAAATCTCAAATTCACATGATATGTACCAGTGAAATCCATCACTTAAATACACTACACAACTCTGCTCTGATTACAAGATCAGACTGAAAAAAAAAAGCCATTAAGAGTTCCTCAGAGTCATTCTGATAATATTCTTATTTGTCAAAGAAAAGAAAAAAAAGAGAAAGGCTAAATCTATATTTTTATCTAGCATTCTAGTTGGCTTCCCTCAGGCAAGCAGACTTACATAATCTCATTTGATTTTCCACAACAAATACCGAATCTCTTCACCAGTTTCAAACTAGTCTGACAGAGGTCTCACCCTATGCAATTTTTATGGCATTGGTCAGCCATACATAGAAAAAATCCTCGACATACTTGCTGAAAGAAAAGTAGTTTAATACTCTTAACATATTAGAAAATACTTCCAGTGGAAGGTCCTAAAATATCCTAACCAGAGGATAACATCTGCTGGGAGATACTTGTTGTCTAAGCTCTCAAAGGTGCACCAATATGGGCTCTCTTGTGCAGTAAGAAGAAATAAAAGTGACAGTCTCCCTCAAATCTGTGGACCTGTTTTGTAGCTGCAGGGTAACCCAGAGTGAAATACACATGGTTACAAAGACAAATCCATTGGATACTTTGCTTTAGTGCTCAGTTGTTAAACCAAACACCCCTACTAGCAGAGAAGATAGTCTAGGGGTGGTTCTGTAGGTTGTTTGATGACCTCACAGCCAAGAGCTTCATAATCTTAAACCATTAAAAAACAAACAAACAAACATCCCAAGACCCATGACGTTAAGTCATGCAACTGATTTAAATACACAGGGTTTACATAGGGAAAGATAATCCTCAAAGAGAATATGAAAGAAATGTGTTAACTACGTATTCATAACATCCACTCTCCACCCTAATGAATTTCAAATAACATAACACTCATTTTCAGCAAAGGCCAGATTGATCTTCCAAACAGAAATGCTTGATAGTTTATGTTTCTTATTCATACAGGTAGAAATAGGCTCTTCCCCTTTTCCTGAAGCAACTTTCAATATAACTAACATACTTCAGGTTTTGTCTAAAAGATTATTTGACATGACAATATAACAATTAGTTGTTTTAGGTGCCACATGTATCTACTGACAACTTCATATTTTAAATTAAAAAATTGACTATGTAAATGTCTTCTCATGCAACAGCCACATTTCAGAAATTAATCTACTATAAGATGCTTTTAGATGACTGTACCTGCTGACTGGGGTAAGAAGGTGGTGGACTATCCATTTTTGTTTCATCTTTCCTTAATGTCCTTTTTCCTAGAGACATTTCCTCCTTTTGAGTCCCTGGTGGTTCACCACTGCTCTCCCCATCTGCTTCTTCATCATCTGCTTCTGAGGAACTGCTGCTAGTACTGCTGACCTGAGGAGACTGGACAACATTAACTCATTAACATGGGGACATGAACAAGGACAAGCATGTCTCCAGTGAGCACATCCAAAAACCAGAAGAAACCAGGACACTGTAAATGCTATACCTCATCTTTCAATGCCATGTTTTCGCCGCCGCCGTTTAGCTCGCTGTGGATTCCATTCATGTTGGCTACAACCTCTGCATCATCATAATTATTCAGTGGGTAGATGTCAGCAAATTTTGCTGATAATGGGGCAACATCATCATCATCACTACCACTGAGGGGAAAAGAGGCTTAGATAAATCACAGTGCTCAGTTACAGTGAAAGCAGCTAGAATATCAAGATGAAATAAAGTTGAGGGCATCCCTTGTATAAATGTTCAAATTAGGAGCCAATGGATGGTCTTCCAAGTTGTTTAACTGAATTTACTTTTTCAAGCAAGCAAAATCAAACAACCTGAATGCAGCAGTCACACGTCTAAATGACAAACTCGATTGAAACTCAATTGGTTTTGGGTAAAATATTTTTCAAACACTGTTTTCTCATCAAAAATCTATGGAATTAGTAATTCCAGGATATTGATGACCTTTCATTTGATGAAAAAAGCTTTATGCCAATGTCTTCACAGAAACTGCGAAGTGGAAAAACCCACAATACAAAATTTGAGTTTTTCCACATGTTAAATGTCACACATAAAACCGGACAAACTGAACACATCACAGTAGCTCTTAATAGCAATTAGTTTGTAGACAACCCCACATCTGCATGCTTTTCAGAATCTGCTCTAAAATACTTAGTGGAATTTTCTTGCCTTACAGACAGATAGTAAAAGGACGTGCATGTTTAATTACTCACTCCAGGGAAGTGTTGCAAAGATTGGTTAGTTCATGTTGCTACAATAATCCAGAACTCTTAAACTGTGCACTTTTATCTTGTTGCATTCCATAAAATACTGAGCCAAAATTTAATTACATGATGGTACCATCAGGCATATTTCAAATGTGCAATGAAGAAACAAAACACAGCAGATAGTATGAGACATAAAATGGCACTTCCCCAAGTAGCAGTGGTATTTCCTTAAAAATAGGCTTCTTATAGTAAATACTACTTGGATTCAAATGAACTAGTTTCTGAAGAGACAAATTGAACAATTTTTGACATTTCAGCACCAAAATTAGTGAGAGTTTATAAAAATGGCAAAGCACACATTTAAGAATATGTAGCTCTTTTCAAGTGCTCCTTGAACAGGTTCAGAAACTACAGCTCTGTAATGAAATATTAAACCACTGCTGGTAGTAGATAAATGTTTAGAGGAAATGGAACTTAGTGACTGACAGTCACCAGAAACATCCCACACATCTGCACTGTCCTTGTTCACAGTGTATAAGGGAACACTACAGCAAATTCCCTTGACTCTACCTACAGAAGGTACTGGATTATTTCAGTGTTCCCATCCCAGAAGTAACTCAGGTTGGGGGTTTTTTAAGTATTTCTTTATCACATCACAGAGGAGACTCTTGGTTAGCTGTATCCATACTAAGTAAAAAAGCCAGCCCACCAAGAGCTTTAAAACTCTTTGGAATTATGAAGGGGTGGAAGTCCACCATTAGACTGACATCTCAAATCTGATAATGACTTTGATTAGAGTATAAGAAATTGGCTGGCAGATACTTCTGATAGGGACAATAATTTTTGATGCAAGACATATTAACACAGGCTCAACAATCCTAAAAGCCATATAATAAAGGCTTTTTTAGAAACTAAAGCAATTCATATGAAATGATAATCCTTGAAAGAAAGGAATGCCAGTTTCCTTGCTTAGTTTAGGAAAATCTGACATTTTAACCCAGTGCTCTAAAGGAGATCCATATCTGATATCCTTGTAATTGCAAAGCAGGAAAAGCACACACTACAAAAACTTCTAGCAACACTAGCAATACAGCATGTTCAGAAATTTTCAGAAATTTGACAGCATCTCTTTTAACATATGTATGTTTGCACAACATACAGCTGGAGTTCTAGCCAGCTGAATACACTACCATTATTAAATAATTTTCTGAATCAAAAGTAGCATTATATAATGATAAGCAGGCAAATTACATTGGCAGGCTAAGTTCGATTCACTATAAAAATTTAAAACAGAAAATGGAACTTACAAAGTTGGTGCAGAACCATTATCTGCAAGGATGAGTCTGGGATGTTGCTGAATTGTGATAGGTGAGCTGGAACCCGATCCTGAACTGGCTGAAGACATACTGGGTGGGCGGATCTCAGATAAATAATCCGGAGCAGAATCAATTTGTAGTGGTAACTGGTTAATGTGGATATCATCCGTTATGGGAGAATCCATGATGCCACACGTTAAAATGTGTGAAAGGCTGCAGTCATCACAAGTACATCTGTTCAAGAATGAAATTACAGATTTTTATGACCTTGTTTAACCAGCATTTATTTAAAATAACCACAATTCTTTGTTCCAATAATGTATTTCTTTTTTCCTTGAACAGGAAAGTAGTGATTTATTATGATTTCATACTAAAAACATCAGCTCACCTTCTTCTATAATTACAGTTGGGACAGTCAGGCATGCTCAAACGTGATGACAGCATGTGTCTCATTGTGTCTGTGAAGTTGTTCTCCCCAGATAGTGCTTTCTTGTTATTAAGCTGAAGTAAATGGTAAAGGCAGTGTTTTAGTAGTGCAAGTCTTCCCATCAAAATTCAATGGCACATAATGACAAGTTACATAATCAAAAAGGGTTCTTTGGGGAAAATAATTGAAAAGCAGAATAATTCAGAATCATTGCATGAAGCTGGCATTTTGATCACAAAAAGGAAGCCCAAAGTTAAAACAACAAACATCTGGCATCAATACTCTTCAAATAAAGTATGTCTCTACTATGAAATAGCAAAGTGGACAAGTCCAACTGCTCGACTCATTCATATGTACATCTTGCACGGTATTTCTGCTGATGCATTTTGAACTTGAGCAGCTTTTGTCTTGTTTCATGATATGCAACAAAGGACACTGCTGGCAAATGGAGAAAGCAAACTGACCCTCAACTTGCAAATAAAAAAAAAAATTCAGACTAATTTGGTAGCAGCAATGGTATAAAGTCAAAGGTAGCTGCCCAAAACAGGACTTGACTGCATTAGTGAAAAAATACAATCCAAATAATCTCCACCTGGCAGAGGCCTAATCCTGAAAGCACCTAATTTCATTAGAAACCTACAAGCCTTAGGTTAAACAAGGATGTGCCTAAGCTCCCACTTCTATAGATGCCCAGACCTGATCCTTACCTAAGCAGCCATGGTCTTACAGCTCACTTAAGGCCAATTAGGATCAAAGAAAAAGAGGATTCTTCCTCAAGTCCTCTGAGGAGACCTGTATACCAGATGCTCTGAAGACATGGTTAACACAGGCTTATGTTCCTTATGGGAAAAAGTACTTACTGATGACTGCTTTGAGACATTGCCAATTTAAGCTTAAGTTTAAGTTTATTAAAATGTACTATCATACTCTCTCTGGCTCATGACTAGCGTTTCTTTCTGCATACTGGTACAGGAACGGAGAGGTTCTCCATCCAGAGTTGACTCTAGCCGAAGCCCACTGTACTCTTATGGAAAGCATGATGCACACTTGAACACTTCTAGGCTGCAGAAAAGAGTACTGAGTCTTACACAGCAGTTTTATAATAAGGTAGAAACTTCTACTGGCCCCTCTCTGCTTACAGCTTAAAAAAAGGAACACAGTTCTGTTCAGCCCTTTCCTCAAAGAACAGATGCAGGAGCTATCTCTGGAGTCTCAGCAGGTGGAATCACCTGCCCTGATACTGAGGCTCATACTCCTGCACACACACAGGCATGTTAAACTCTTGAGTACAATATTCCCTACCATGTAGATCAAGACAGCTCTACACTCAATGTATTGGCTGTTTTGGCTCCTACTCTAAGGCAACCAAAATTCCCCTTTTTTTGTACAAAGATTTTAAACACCTGGCATTCAGTCCTAAGACACAGTGTTTATGTTTTACCTTCCAGTAAATCAGATTACATACTTTTACCTGCTCTTCTTGGATCTCACTTTTCTGTATTTTAGCTGATCAAATTTCATGCCTGGCATAGTTGCAGAATTAGAACACAGAACTAGTATGACACACCACACTCATGTTTGCATCTTAGAAATAAATATATGTGTAGCATTAGTATAACTTAGAATGGTATAAAAAAAAAATCCTACCTGCTCTTCAATAAAACGCCTCTGTTTAAAAAATTCCCAGTCTTCCTTTAGCATGCGCTGCTTTGTTTTCATTGCCATCTAAAACAGAATTTGAGGAAAGCTCATTGATAGAACAAGAGAAAACCTACTTTGTTGTCAACTGGCCTGTTTCATTAAACCTAGCTTAGCTATAATATTCTGCAAGTACTTAGACACTTAGTCAATATGAAATGTGTTTTATATGCTAATAATTTGAGTCATTTAAACAAAATATTTTATATTAATTTACATGATTTTTCTCTTGTATTTTCCACTCTGATTTTTCCACTGTTACTCCTTATGTTAATATTTATTTTCATTAAATAGTTTCATAATATTTTTAATAAACAGTGATTGGTATTAAATACTCAACATCTCAGATTCATTACAATCCATTAAAATCTAGAGATACTGGACTTATGGCAAGGCCTCAATGCAGGCTCAAGTGTAAACCCTGAAGTACTACATGTGGAACTAATAAGCCAAAGAGTCAAAAGAATCAAAAGTAGTGACTTAGACTAACACTATTTATTCCTCAAAGTTCCTCATGCCCCTTGATTTATCTAAGGCTGCAAAAATACTTTATAATTATTCGTCTCTCAAATCATATCACCATAAATGTACAAAGAGTCCATAACTTTTTGTAAACAAATGATATTTTTCTGATTTAGTAAATACATTGACTCTGAGGGACACAAAAGCTTTCATGAACTGTAACACAACAAAATGCAAGAACAAAACTCCTCCTGTTGTACGTTAAAACATTTTAACAGCATTACTTCATCAGTGAGGAAAAACAACTACCGGGGTTATCTTTTACAGTTTTTCTTAAAAATTGACCTAAATATCAGCTTATAGAATATACGAAATTGCTTCATAAATTAGGTTAGTGAGCCAAGACCAGTAGGTTCCACCATTAGCAACATTATTTTTATCTTCAAAAGCATGCCTGCAGAAATTCATACTTGATAAAAAGTTAAAAGTCCCACTACTAAGCTAAGTAAACTATTGCTATTATTATTTAACTTAGGAAGATGAATTTTTAAGCAGAGGATCTGAAACAGTATTAAGTGGGAAAATTTTGCCTAATTAATTTCTGAAGCTACCAGCATCATTTTAGTTACCCCTGTGGATTTGGATTTCCTTTGCTCCGGTGAGATAACAGTAACACTAAAAAATGAGTTTACCATATCCATATGTGTTTAAAAAAATAAGAAAAAAAGGGCACCCATGAAATATTCTTAAATCACTCATACAATTTCTTAGACACACTAAAAGGTACTGGAGAGCCTGTGGCAAGCAACATCAAATTTCATGCTGGATGGACTATTAGCTCCTGAGAACCCTTGAGCTATATTTAATGCCAGCAACTGTCACTGGTTTGGGTGCCCTGACACCTGAACCCTCAGCATCAGTCAGCCACCTCCATTCACTGCACTTTGTAAGAGAAGACTTTTAATGCCAGACAATGACATTTAGAACAGCCAGTGCATTAACTGGGAGCTGCCTACTCAAGCCTGCCAAGAAACTGTCACAGCAAACACCATGGGCTAAGTCCTGGTACCTGAGCACTAATGGGAACAGGAGCTGACACTCAAGTTTTCCTACTTTCACCTTTGCAGTCTTTTCAATACTCCATGTCTACAAGTATCTAAAGTTATTGATTCCATAAATAATAGAAACTCACTTCTCTCCCTCCCTTCTTTTCCCCAGTGAGTATTTATTTCACCAGAGCAAAGCAGCTGCAATACAAACCACATGAATTATGCCCACGAACTCTCCTAGGGAGTGAGAGATAAATCCAAATGCCATCAGAAGAAAAAACTTACACTTCAGTCTTGTACATCTGGACTGAATACGCTATTATCACTGCCCAATGGAGAAGAGAGGGCCACTACTACCCTCTTCCTTCCTCCCTATTTATTTGAGGCTAAGAAATATTTCAGCTCCATCAGACAAGCAAGACAGACAGGTGAACAAGTTTTCCATTGTGAAATGGATTTAATCATGAAACGAAGCCAGCAGTCTGGTCAGAACAGAAATATAACATTAAATCATCTGTGAAAACTCTGATGTCCATACATATATCACAGGATGCTTGTTACTTCCAAATTTTAAAGTCTGCACCAAATGTAAATTGCACATTTGACTTCCTAAATTCTACATATGAATCAATTTTCTTAACAATAAAAATAATTCCTCCTATCACAAACTCTCAGCACACAAAAATACCAACTGCTTCAATTATCTACACAGCCACCATACAGACAAAAAAACCCATTTATGCCTAGCCTATGCTATTTTATCTATTAAGTTGACCAGGAGTGTAAAAAAATTAAAAATCACACATTAATATGGAAAGACAAGCAAAAAGCTCTGCCCGAGCAAAAGCATTTCAGTTGAAAAAAAAAAACCAACAAAACGAAACACCCTTTGGCACAAAGCACATTTGACTGTGTAGCCATTACTTGTTGAAATAACCTAGGACCTCCTCAGGTAAATGCAGTGTAAGTTTGGTAAGGAAATCAGTATCTGAATGTACAGGCTGCATACACTTAACACTCTCCTGTACTCAAGATATTCCAAAGATTTTCCTCAGATTTAACATATGATTAATACAGGCACTTATACAGATGATTCCTTATTCTAAACTTTATCACAGCATACACACGTGGCCCAGCAGAGTATTAAGTTATGTCTGTGCATGACACAGCTGTCTTACACCATCTTAAACAATTAATTTGTATTGCTTGCAAGAGCTATTCTTTTTTTACCAACAAGTAACATAACATATTGTAGTGGAGTGTTCATCAATTACCTTTGCTGATGCCCTGTTTTGTGTATAGTTCCACAATACATAAATAAGAACCATTCTTAAACCTCCTTTGCTTTTTAACCTTTCAAATGCTACAACAAAACCTCACAATTTTGTTGAGCCAAGAAATAAGCAACTGATGAGCACACATTTACTGGTAAGATCCACACTTTCTATACTAGCAGGGCCTTCTCATTGCTATCTTGTTGACAAAAATATCACTGCAAATTCAGGTATGATGATTATACTGAATAATGTGGTTTTGATCAAAAGAGTATAACCACAGGTTATCACCAACACAAGGTTTAAGGCACGACTGTGAAATCTTTCTTCTACAAATTAATACCAATACAAATATCAGTATCTTCTTTAAAATTTGATGGTTTAAGTTTTACAATTGTTTCCCCTATGTGCCCCCCCTCCCCCACCTTTGCAGGTACTTTTGGTCATCAGGAAATCAGTCGTCACATTCAACTGCCCCAACTGGGAGAAGAGTGCCTGTTTGCATAGGATACAAGCTTCACTGAGCAAATTTTAAAAATGCTACAAGATGGGACTTGTGGCAGCTGCATGATCACTTGATAAAGAAATACAGAAAAGTCAGTTAAGAGCTGATTATCAAGTGGTGCAGAACAAACAGTCAGAAAGCAAATATGAATGTGACTCCACAGAAATGTTATTTTAAAAAAATAGCTAAATGATGGTAGTGGACTCCTTTCTTACTAGAGAGGCAATATTAGACAGCCATGACACCCTCACCCCATGGGAAAGATGATTTCTAATAGCATAAAATGTGAGATAATGACATTTTACTGAGCTGCAATCAAATATAAAGGTGCACAAAAGCAGCCAGACCAAGAGAAAACTTTTTAACTCAAAGCTCACAGATGCAGTCCCCAAATATAGAGCAAACTCTAAAAATAAAATTAGTTATATCCTGTCTCCATCGTTAAGGCACTGGAATTAATGGTAAAAGTTCACTTAAATCTTCAAGACAGGAAACAACTTGTAAAGGACATTTACAGTGTATCATAAGACTAAAGTATGCTTGTCATCTAAAGAAGCAACATAGCATTACTGAATCTCAAATTAGTTCCCCATATTCCTATTACTCATAAAACTTCAAAATAGAAGGGAAGTTCTATAGAATTCTCTATCTTCAGTTATTTCCAAGAAATTTTTCTTCTAGAACACTTAAGATTGAATTAAGCAGATTTTCACTCTTTTTGCAAGATGTATTAAAAAAATTGAGCTTTTTGAGCATGAGACAAAAGCCACAGGATAAATTTTTGAAGAGTATAAACAACCACTTGCAAAATAAACAGCTATTTTTCTGACAATTAAGCTCTCAGCAATGTAGAAGTCAGCACAATAACATGATTATTTTCTGAAACACAGCACAAATTCAGAAAAATAAGCTATCAGATCATACACTTGATTAAAGGACTGCTTCAGAGGTCCAAATATTTAGGCATTGAGATAAGCTGCAGTTCCCATTTTGACAACTTTACAATGATCATCATCACACTGACACATGCCATAATTTTTAAAAGCTACCACTTCCTCTGGATTTCATTTAGCACACTTATCATTTTGAAAGCTTAGGGGGTTTTGTGGAATAGGTTATTTTTATTTCTTGTGGCTCATTTACTGGCTAACATAATTATAAAATGTTCAAAGACCATCTCTAAACAAGAGCAAACAATCTGCTTCAACAATTTAAAAATGCCATTGTGCAATCACCGCTAAGTCTTGGAAAGTTAATGCTTTTCTACTGTGAATGACTAACATGAATGAAAAAAGTTACATTTTGTTGCTTCAATGCCCTGGATAAAAATACCCAAGACATTATTATTCTTCACTGAAGGCACAGTCCTGCATGGACTGCATGCTTCTCCCTACATAATCAGTCTTGAGACTGTTTGCATGACTCTTACCTGTTCATCAACATAATCATCTATTCTTTTCTGGCATTCAAGCCATGCTTCAGCAACTTGGCCCATTTCCTGTTCCAGCTGATGATACCTTTGTAGCAAGGTACTATACATATCTTCACTACAGGAATCTTGTGTTGTTCCAAGCCTAAAAGTTCAAATAGCACTTGTTACAGAAGAGACATTTCACTGAAGAATCATGTTTTTAAGTTCTGCCAGCCAAAAAGAATGTTGTGAAAATGCGATTGACACACCTAGGCCCACAAAGCTGCTTGTAACACAAAAATTGTGTATTTTTAGAAGTTTTCCAAAAACTGTTCAAACCCTGCTTATTCCAATCTTCTGTAACCAACAATAGCAAGAATGTGGGAAGTGCCACATTGCTAGAGCCTCTTTCCCATGAACAACCAGATGACAAGTTTGTTTGTTCAAATTTTGTTGCTTGATATATTTATCCTTCCAAATTATATGGGCTAAATATACATGTTGACTATCCACTGCAGAGCTACATAATAAAAATAAAGCCAGAAGCTTGTTAAGCAGAACTCTCATGACCAGTGCTAAAAAGATTACTAGATGAGTTGGAGTTGCAGGTGGGAAATGTGCTGTAGAAGAGGCAAGTGAGATACAAGCAGTTATCTACTATCACTTGAGCAGCATGGAATTCAAAACACGGGTATGCCAGTCACTGCTGACTGTCTCTGTGAGGAGCCCCAGAAACAGGAGACAGACTTACCTGCCTTCCTACTGCTGCAGCTTTGCACAGCACAATGCTTCTGAAGTAAATATGCCAACTCCCAATACACTGACTTCACAAATAACAAAAGACAAAATTCTACTCAGTAACATGTGTTTAAACCACGCTGAATTGTAATGACCTGTCAATTGACATAAATAAGCTGAAGCTTTACAACATTTTTCTACTCATTAATCAAACTGTGTGGTAATTAATTAGTCACAGAGGTTGTGTAGCAAATCAAAGCCAGAACCAAAAAAACAAAACTGAAGCATCTCAAAACATGATATTTTCCTAGTTCCAGCAATTCAGGGAGGTTTGTTATAGATTTTCATTGCAATAGTGTGTCAACCCAGCCTCAGAACCACACAATCCTGCCTGTCACCCAGCAAAGAACTAAGCCCTTAATTTTAACTTGGCAATTAAGCATAATGAAGAACTGAGCAAACAGACAACTCAATAAGCACCAGGTTACAGCTGATAGTGTGAATTTGCCAATAAATTCAAATTTGCTTTGTTGTTTTTGCCCAGAACCTGCAACACAACCACTTAAGAAGGATGCACAAGCAACTCTGCACATTAAAACTTGGGATGTCCATGGGCTGAAGAGTACAAAAAGAAGTTTCAAGGGATACAGTGCCTTTAGGATACAAGACTTCCCTACTATTACTGCAAACACTGTCAACTCCCATTACTAGACCAAAATTTACTATTTTTTTTGGAACCTCTGTTTCTGGTATTACGTAATTATGCGAAAATCAGATCCCTACTATATAAAAATCAGTAATTTGTTCTCATAACTGCTCCTGACTAGTACTATTCTTTCACACAGTAGATGGGTACAAATTATTTTTAAAAATGCGCCCAAGTTAGAAGCAAAAGAACTAAATTTAAAAAAAATTGTATTAGAAATGCAATAGCATTTACACTTTAATTTCTTATTGTAACTCTGAATAATGCTAACTAAATACTAATGATAGTAAATACACTTTCACCCCCCAAGGCAAGTATAAAGCAACAATTTAATTAACATTTCAGTCCTCTAAACAGAGGTAGAATATGTTCCTCAACTGCAGGAAAAAAAAAAAGGGTAACATATATAAAATTTTACATGAATTGCTCACTTTAAAGTAACTGACACTTCCAAGCAATATCTGTTGATAAACTGTACACCTACATGTTTTGATCGGGAGTACATAACTTTTTGGACAATGGCATTTAACCAAAACCCTGCAAATATCCTCAACCACTGTCCCATCCCATGCTGGGAAAGCAAAGGGGACAGAGAAGCCCCAGATATCACTTCATTGGTCACCACATCCCAATAAATCAGTGTGGTGAAAGCAGAAGGCATGTCAGAAGCTGCATGCAATCAGAAGCATCTGAACCCAATCAATATTATTTAACCTCTAAGAAACTCTTCATATTGACACCATCAGAAAGTACTACCCACTCACCTTTGAAAGGATTTTCTCAAACGCTCATTATGAAAATACATCCTTAGGAAATGCTGTGTCTGACCTAGAAGCCCTGCTGGCTAATTAACTCTTGCTAAGCCATGGACAGCCCTTACAGCTGGTCTACAGGCTGTGCAGCTGAGCTGCCCCCTAAACAAGCCACAGATACTGACTGTAGCCAAGATATAACACATGAAGACCCTGGTAGTTTACCCCAGCAGATGTCCCCTGTCAGCTGCAGCATAGTGACTGACACAGCTGATCTTGTACCAGCTAAGCAAATTCCATCTCCACAAGGCTGCTGTTTAAACTTCCCTATGTGAACGCTTTTTCTAGTCTGACATCTGATAAGCATCCTTGGAACTAACCACAGAGCACTAACTACACAGTTAGAAAAAGCCAGAGATACACAAAACATTTCATGTTTTAAGCAAAGAAAGAAAAGACAAACTACCCAAAATCTAAGCGAAGCTGAGGTGTCAAAATGCCATTTCACATTTCTCTTCAGGAAGAGAAAATTTTGATGTCAATGCTCTTTTGTAAAGAAACTGGCAATACTTTCTCTAGTGATTCTCTGTTGACCAAATGTCCAGAGGACTAGGCTGATCCCTGCTTTTCCATGAGGCTTCTGTGATGGAACATTTCTCCACTAATTTCCAGTGGAAGTCAGAAACATATGCTTCCCAGAGAAATCAAAATCTGTCACTTCAAGACACAGAGAACTCAACAGTCAAATCCTAAGAGTTCCATGAATACAAACAAAAACTACACTTACCAAAGAAAAACCAGACACGCTATATAATCTAGAAATGGGAAGCTCGTGCTGAATCTTTCCTATCAAAAAACGATTCATGTCAATCAAACTAGGCAAAATCGTAAGTTCAATGATGCTTCACATAAACTACCTAGCAAACACAAATGCACTGGAAAAGAAACTCCTGATTCTGATTCCATCAAATTTGTAAGCTTTAAAGGTGGCTGTCACAACTTCTGTTGTTCTGACTTTAATTGCAGTAGAACAGAACAGGTAAATGAAATGAAAACTACTTTTGTTAAGAAATAACGAAGTTAAGTTAAAGACCATCTCAGCTCTGCAGAAAAAGGCAATATAAACATTTTTATATAGTCAGCACCGCTGGAATAAAGAAACACAGAGAGGCCTCGTCAAAAAGCATGGACATGATGAAGGATAGTCACAGAAAAAGAAGCCACAGATCACTGGGAAAATACACAATAAAAGAGCATGCTGTTTAACACAGCAATAAAATCAGGTGTTGGGGCAGGGAGAGAAAGGCTTTCAATATCAACTCAGTTTCATCTAAATAAATCGGGTAACTTATGAGGTACTTCAGATTTGTTGCTGAGCCTGGCAACAATTCAACTTTTTTGTTTCCTCTTTTTTCTTTTCTAGTATCTACTAGCAAAAAGAGGACTCAAAAGAAATTTTTTTATTCACTGTGCGCAACATTCTTGTAACAGAATTACTCCAACTTCTCTGGTACCAGGGAAAGTTACCCAAGACAGTACCTTTAAAACACGTGTACATAGATCATAAATGTGTCTTCATCACAAACAAGACTGAGAGGTCAAACACTTTGGCAGTACACAAATTGCAAGCAGAACAACCCTACTAAGAAAATATACAATTTAATGCCTTGGGAGCTTTAAAGTCATGAGACCTACAAGCACACAGCAAGGGTGTTTCTGCAATGAAAAGATGGCTTAATACTCCAAATTCAGTTCTGTGCAATATGGAAGTAGAAGGTAATGAGGCTTTAATTTGCCTGTAGAGCTGTAAAAACAGCAGCAATGCCTGATAATGGAAAACAGTACTATTCATATTATTCAGTCATACCACCGGTATTTACACAGCATACTATCATTTTACTGGGTAACCTACAACTAAGCAAATTATGGTTGTAATTCTTCTGACAAGTAAGTTATGACAGCAGCCTGCTCAATCAACAACACTGTTCAAGAAAGAGCTGCAAAGATTTTTACCAATTAAAGTGTAGCAGCATATTTTTTTTAATGCTGAGGTTGCAAACATGGATTTTCATTTCTTCTTGAAACCACAAAACAAACGCTAAACTCTACCTTAGCTGTGACACCAGCGTTGGCAGGCTATTCTGCAGGAGTGGCTCAGAAAATACCAGATTTTCAAACAGATGCTTGTTGTGCAATTCCCATGTCACCTGAAATTTCTTCAAATGTTCATTTTCCTATAATGATAAAACAACCAGAAATAAACCAGGGTTATAGAAAAAAACCCCCAAGATTCTGTACAAGGCAAGAATTTTTTTTAAAGTCTGATTTCCAACCTACAGACTGTATGAATCAGCTCAGATTTTATGCAGTTTTAATACCCAAACCCTCAGAATTGACCATAGCATCATTCTTTCTAAATTGTCATGAATTTACATATGGAATGTCAACCTATAATCTTTATTCAAAACTGACATAAAATCAAATTAACAGTTCTCAATGACAGCTTAAAGAATGAAGTTCTCTACACAGACGAGACCAACAGCTTATTTCTCTAGTAAGCAGAACATTTTTTTACTGGAGGTTATTAAACACATAGTTGTATGTAATTTCAAGAGCTAAACCTTAAAATATTATCATTAAAACACAAGAATTCAAAACACATATAATATACTTTTCAAGGCAGCAAGTTTTCCTACCTACAGCCAGCAGTACGCAGGTTTTCTATACCAGGACTCACTGACACAGCAGAATTAAATGCAAGCATTCTGGCTCTCAGATCAGCAAGTGGGCCTTAGGCACTATAACCCCAAGCACCCAGAAAAACCATTATACTTTGGAATTTTAAAGTTTTGTTAATAACATTGGGTAAAAAAATAAGTCAATTGAACATATTTATATCAGATCTGAAGACAAGACTATCAGCATTTAATAAAACAATTAAGTTCAAAGTATTATTATTAAAAAGGGTGGGTGATGGGGTTTTTTGACTTGCACCAGACAAGTGTACTTTTTAATTTTGAGTATCCTGTCTTCAAAGTATTTTAAATTTCTATAAAATGCTAATAATGTCTCAAGGTTCACCGAGGTTGATTTCTTAAGGAATTTTTGTATTATGCTATGAACAAAACAATCAACACTTATCTACAACCTCTTGTGTATCAGTTTGTGTAGATTATGGTTTATGAGGTTATTCTCACAAAGAAGTATCAGGCAAGTTTTCTTTTCTAGTCTGTATGCTGTGTACTTGAGGGCCCTTTTGTGCTGACCAGAGTCTTTCCAAATTGCTGTCAGTATAATCTGTCATTCCCTGCATTGGTGGGGCACAAAGCTTTAGCTTCAGCTCTTGAAGTCAGATGGATCCCTTTGAAAGGAAGGACAACTGTTCATAATTTCATTGAGAAATCAGTTTCTTACAGGTGGAGGTTCAAGGCATTCTATGCCTTTTTACAGTATACTACAAGCAAAGCTTTCATCCTTAAAAGGAAAGCAGCACTAAGTTTAGAGATCTTGGCTGCCTGTGACATGTTTTAGCTGAAAAGATTCCTTCTTCTATAGTGTACTGGTATCTTGAGAGGAAACATTCACGCACACTGAAAAAACTAGTGACGTTACTACCTGTACTGAAAGGTGTGACACACTACTCCATTAAATAAAAAGGTTATTTAAGGAATGTATGACAAGAGACAGTATCCTACATTCTCACATCTCAGTTTCTCAAGGTCACAGCTTGGTAGAAAGATGTTTTCAGTACTGACTGGGATGTAGAAGGAAAAAGACAAGAAAAATATGGCATATTTTGTGTTTTCTTATGCTTTGTTTTTTAAAAGAGGAGAAGAATGTTATTTTACTTGTAATTTTGTCAGGATAGGAGTTGACTAGTGAGTTCAAGCATCAACAGTTTTCTCATGGCTATTATTTCAATCTCCCATACCTACTAGTTTTCATGACTACTAGTTCACAGTAATTGCCAGGAAAAAGGTAAAATGGTTATTTTCTAATCAGCTGTGTAATTCTGGCACTAATGGGTTCATTACTGGCCGATCCACTTTGAGAAAGTTAACAAGCTGCAAAGCAAATCAACCTCAAGAGCAACTTTCTCTCAAGCACCTTGTTAGAAACTTAATGATTGTTAAAAGCAGCCAGTAAACAGGAGATAGCAGTGACCTCACATTTGTATCTAAGTGATAAAGCTGGGAAAGATAATACAGACAACAGCAAATACAGAGCATTGAAAACAAAAAACCCCATCAGATACGCTCAAGTTTCTTAGAAGAAACATCTTCCTGCTTTGCCAATTTTATTGCCAGCCCTACCTCTAATGAAACCCTGCTTCCTCTCCACTTTATATCCTCACCTATGGCCACCAGGGTGTATGTTCCATCTATTTTTTCCTCTCTTTACCCATCCAGACAGTCACTTTCACCTAACTGACAACTCAAATCCCCTGTTTTAGCCACCTTTTCTTTCCCTTCTTGCACAAAGCTTACACAAGAAAAGGGACGGACAGGATGAGGACATTAGTAAAAGAAAGCATTAATAACAAAACAGGATTAATAACCTTCTAAGACCTTAAACAAATATAATTACAGAATTTGTTTAAGGTATTACTCATCCGATGGACAGTTACTCAAGAAGAAATTTTTAAAGGCTACTGCCTATTTTATATCCAAACATGTAATCCTAAGTCTAATATCATAACCAGCTGACAAAAAAACATTTAAGGAAGAACTTTAGAAAGCATAAATTACATTGCAGATTAACTCTGAAGCAACACAATCTCTTCAATTAGCCATCCAAGATAGTGAATGAAAAGTTGAACACGGAAACAAAATAAGTTAGTGCTACACAAGGAAGTTGGTGTCAATAAACCATAGTTGTCAAGAGACCATTAAAGATTAACAGAGAAGTGTTTTCCACATTAGGATCGCTAATATTTTGTAGATTTGATTAAAGATTTGTTCAGAGTAAGTGTCACAAACAACATCCCACCTTATTCCTTGTGAACAAAAAATAATTTCATCAAGCCACTGTAAGAGACACCTACTCCACACTTCTGAATATTTAACTGCATTTTCAGAATCTCCCTGTCTCTAAGGACGAACACAACAAGAACCTTAAAATTTACAACCACAGAAGACACCTGAAAGAGTCCAGAAACAAGTCTGTCAGCATTAGCCCTGGCAAGCAGGAGCACAAAGGCTGTTTTTTCAGTCTTACCAGAGTAACTAGGAAGGCGCTGATTGTACACGCTGCCTGACAGAGTGCGCTGTACTCTTCAAGTAGGAGTGAGATGAACTGCTGTGCCTGGGGTGGCCCTTCTGTCGCTAACGTTGATGCAACCTTAGATCCCAGGGACAAGTGTCTGAGCAGACGAACCTTCATTTCAAGCACATATTCCCTAGCTTGCTGCTCCAATCGTTGGTAAAGCTGGTATGGATCTCTTTCACAAAGCCTTTATTTTTAGAATATTTGTGACAAAAAAGAAAAAAAAAGAACATGTAATCAACAGTTTTCATTTTCCTACAAATATTTACCAATTACCATTATTATCATCAAAAAGAACCTCAGTGGCTGAGGTTTAGAGAATTCACTATTTTAAATCTCAGAAAACACAGTCCAGTCCCTTACTGCTACACTTATGAAACTGAGCTCCTGTGTACCTTTAGGACTAGGATGCCTGTACACCTGAAGAGGAGACTGATTTAGGACTTTACAGTTTCACTTCAACTTGTGAGCTCAAAAATCTTAACTCCATTTGCACCCTGTAGGTACCCAGACTCTTCAGATAAGTTTCTTCACAACTTCTTCATGTTGTTCTTAACAAGTGACAAATTTGTGTCTACAGAAGAAAACTGAACACAACGGCAGCTTTGAACCACTTTATATAATTCAATTTCAATTTCTTTCATGGAGTTTAAGCATGCACAGAATGCTTTGGGTTTTTTACAGCACAGGGAGGTGGGAAGAAAAAATGAACAGGGTAAGTACTTAAGAGTTAGGTGAATAGAAGTCTGCAGTCTGCAGCTATCTAATCCAGGCTTTTCCTTCACCATTCACAAAACAGTCCTATCATACTGCCATCAAGTATTCCAACATACAATAGGGACATTACTTGGCACAACTACTACTATTCCAACAAAGACGACCAGACACTCAATTTTTTGCCAGCTGTGTCTAACAAGAGCCAAGCATAGAAGTGGGAATTTCTGCCCTTTAAACAGTCACTCAGCCACAGTATGGTCCTCTGCATGCTACCTAAATGAAAGATGTTTTTTTTAAATGCATTCAATACCTACACTGACTAGCTTTGTAAAAAATTCCACATGATATTAGCACTACAGACTGGACACACTGGTGCCTGCCCAAAACGCATCCTTTTTTATTTTACATTTTATAGACCATAAGGAACTCAAGTGAAAAATAATCCAACTGGCATTCAAGGTTTCCTCCTTTGAGACCCTGGTTCTGTCTTTGTATTTTAATTTTCTCTCTCAAAAGTGAAAAACAGTTCTGAGTAATGAAAGCTCCTGGGTACATAAAAAAGTTAGACAGCATATGTTCTGATTTCCAAAATTTTTCCATTAAGGAGATGCATAACATCAATAACCATTTTAGCTGTGATTCAGTTTTAATTACCAACACACTATGCAACATTTAAACATCTTTGATTCCCAAGCCTATATTGCATGTTTTGATCACTTAAATAAACCAAGTGTGACTAATAGGGAGGGACACTATATTACTCTGCTGTACACAACTTATGTTCAAAACAAAACAGTTTTTATATAAGCAAAGTGCAATATGCTTATTTAATTACCTATTAATGCCAGTTCAGGTGTACAGTCATATTAAGAGCAGCACTAGATGAATTTCTCTTTCAAATGTGTCTTTACCTCACCAGAATTTAGGTTCAACTAGAAATTGCACATGAGAACAACAACTGGTCAGACTGCTCAGATCTCAGCATAATTAAGCACATATGGAACCAAGGAGAACAAAAACTTCTTGACCACACATTGAGTTAGAGAGAAACTGAGATGATTCTACTGAGCCCTTTAAGATTTGCCACACTATTCTTAAAAGCAAAAAACCCACCACTGCGGATGTCATCAAGCCCATTTTCACTTCAACACTTAGAAAAGCTACAATTGTGACTTCTAAAATGACAATGAAATTGTAATCCACCTCATCTAGTGATCCATGTCCAATATAATTTTTTTATTTTTATAAAATTTCTTCCAGGTGTTACAATCACAGTAAGGTACCAACACTAACTACTACTACTAACTCAGGCTAGTTCCACAAGGTGAGATTTTCACATGGGGCAATTCAAACTTAACACTATCTTATGAATAAGACCCTTTGAAGAATAACATTCTGGGACCCTTTCATAATTATACATTTATATTACTATTGCAAACAAGATTTGAATTTAATAGCTTCCCATGCATTCAAACTAGTATTGAAAAATCCTGAATAAAAAAATATTCTTTGAAGTAATATACCTATCCACCAGCTCTTTCATTCCTTCTTTATCTGGTACCAACGACTGGTCTTGGTCATCTGCCAAAGGGGTCCCAGCTTGGCGATAAATACACCGAACCATGTATCTGACTTCAGACCAGTAATTCTGAAGCTGCTGAGGTTCACGTTCAGGCTCTGCTGAATTTTCTCTGCATGTGAAGACAAAAATAATTACCCTCTATTCGTATGTATACACATAGGTGTATTGATTCCTACTATTCCAGGAAAAAACGTACATCTAAAAATGCCTAAAATAAAGTATGAAACTAGGTGAATATTGCCATCCAGAAATTACTGTTATTGTCAGACAAGCCGTGTCAAGAGTTAAAGCACACACCTACAAACAAGCTACAACACTGCCAAAATCTGACAACAACCACCGTGCTGCTGAGGCTGAGTTCAGTTCTTACCTGCGTTCATTACAGGCCTCACAGTTGCACGCTATGTCTGAAGGAGAGGAATTGCTCAGATCTGCAGCAGGCACTGTCTGTGCACCAACAGTTATTCTTCCTCCTCCTACAGATTCCTGCTGTGATCCACTGTTTCCAAGAGGCATGTGCAAAAGAAAATCTTGGCTCTGAAAAAAAAAAACCAAACCAAAACCAAAAAGGTAGCCTTCAGTTTGGAAGGTCTGAATTGTTATTAGGTAAGCAAATATTAAAGCGGCAATTCTTAGTGCTGCATATATTCTGGGAGAATACTCAATCAGGCACAAAGAATTAGTCTTGCAAAAGCCTGATAAATGCAAGAGATGGACAAATGATACAGAGCTTCATTTCTAACGACCAAAGTACACCAGTTATAATTATCCCCTTTATGTACTTCAGCATAAACAATGAACTAAGCTAAAGGAAGGCTTGCATCATCCTCACTTAAATCATAAACCAGCACTATCTCTTCAGTCTCTGTGTAACTGTATGTTTGGCTTCCAGAGTTTAACAATCCCTTCAAGTAAAAATCATAACATCTCCTTGCTTGTAACATCCAGCCATAGTATTTCATAGCAATGGATGGCAGAAAGCTGCTGCCATTGGAAATGGATCTCCTGTGCACAGAGCTGTTCAATTCTAGCAGATGACACACACACACTCGCCCAAGACTGCTGCTATTTTCATCTCCAGTTTCTCTCCCTTCTGTGCTCCAGCCCCAGCACATGCCATGCTTCTCTCCTGCACCCTCCCAAGTCTGCCACCAGATTTCCCTGGCACCAGGCAGAGACCTCTCTCACATGAGTGCCATGACTGAAGGTGGGTTTTTTTGTGCCCCAAATCCTGGATCAGGGTGCACATAGGTAAGAACAAACCTGCATGCAGTTGCTACCAAGCAAGCTAATGAGAGCAACAGCAACCTGAACACAGGAACATCTAGAGCAAACCACCTGTACTCTGACTTGCAGTCACTGGTAACAACTTTTTTTAGCTAATTTTGGCTTGTTTCCCAGCTTACTTCTCTAATTTGACTATTAACCCAAATCTAAAAATTTTACCCAGCTAATGGATAATGTGTCTAGGTCTTGCTGTGCTTTGAATTCTCTAGGATGTGTTTACCACCACACCAGCACTGTAATTCCCTTAGAAGTAGCCTCTTTTGATTAGTTCACTACCCTTGTTACTAGCAACATTATCTGTAAACACAAGTTGTATACAAGTGATACACTCTTAAATTTTCCTCCCAAAAAAGTCCATAACAATAGTTTTAACACAAGCTTAACAATGCCCTCTATACAGTCGTTTTTCACAGTGATTTACTGAACTAAAAACCTGTATGTGCCTACAGGTGTGTACACAGCCTGTTAGCTCTCTACAAGGAGATGTCAGCTGCAATCTACAGTACTTCCAATTATCCCAAGTGTGTGACATCCCTGGTCACTTGTGAAGACTTGGTTCTGCAGTGTAACACAGTTTACTTCTAATGAGGTTTTACTAGACCTGTCAATGAACTTGCAGTATCTTCCTGCAACACTAAGCACAGTTTTTAGATGAGGTTGAATTCACAACTTTAAATATTAGCACCACATATTAAATTGGTACTTGCAGTGCTACCAAGACTAGGAAACTGTTACATTCATGCTATGCAAAGTCGTGCTTCTTTATTAAAAAATACAGGAAAGAAAAGGCAGCAAAACTCAGAAATCTGCAGGGAGGTGTCAGTGCAAGTGCAGTGACTCAAGCAGTTCACTGAAAGAACAAGGAAAATTCAGATCATTTACTTCACAAAGAGAGGAAAATGCAATATGAGCAGACAGAATAGAAAAATGCTTAATGAGCAAGGTCATGTTGGTAAAACTAGAAGAAATTGTATTTATGTACAGGGGATAAGGACAAAGTTTGAGATCCAATGAATTAAAAGCAAAAACCTCAGTGAAAAACAGATCCAAACCTTGCTCTCCTTAAAACTCCACAACTCAGAACCAGAGCTCCTCACTTTCAGAACAACTTTCTGTTCAGCTTAAATAAAACCAACTCAAAATTGCCTAAAATGCTTTTTACACATTTACAGTTGCAGTGGTTCCAAGGCACAAAGTGACATGCAGCCCATAATTAAGCACCCTCTCAGTCTACTGAGGTACCTGAACTTACCACGAGAGACTGCTCTATTGTAGCGTGCCTCTCCTCCTTTTCAACTGTTCTTCGACAGTCTGGACACACCCACAGTGGAAGATGCAGCATATTGTTTGCTTTTGGAGATGTGGAAAGTGCTGTTTTGCTAGAATTTTTTATTCCGCTCTCTGAAAGCGAAGAATCTTTTCGTTCACTTCTACAAAGAAGACAATGCTCGCCAGTTGTATATGGTGCCCTTTGGCCCAAGCCAAAGGTAAACGGTGTCTACAAACAAATGTTGTGATAGGTAACTGGTTATTCACAGAACACATATCAGAAAAGGTATTCTGATATTTGAAACAAATAATGAAACCCCCAAAAAACACCACACATATTTTACTGGTCATTGTAAAATGGTGAATACTTGGAGTGTCCCAAAATCAAACACAGCAGTCTCAATATCCATGAGGCAAACAATTCTGACTATTAATACCCTCCCATTTAGAAAGAAGTGCTTTCAAGGAGCATGGTCCACAGTCTTTCCCTCTAAAATATTTTGGCCTAGATGTAATAATCTACTAAGCAAAATTAAAAAGGGATATTTACTTTTACTGTCACCATTTACAGATAAAAATGAAAAATATCTCCTCTTTCAAGATCTGTGATACTTCCTTTTATAATACTACCCGAAAAGTCACTTTCAGTGAAGCTTACTACAAAATAAAAATTTAAATTAGTTTCAACAAAAAAAAAAAAATCAGTAGGTCCTAAAATCCACTATCAGCTATTGAATCAAGTAGACTTGGCAACTAATGAGGATAGAGGTACTTCAAAACCTAAATTCTTTTCCAAGATGCTACTGTGCATGAAACTGTGGTTCAGCCATGCAATGCTGATTCTTCACCAAGGCTGATAATCAAAAACAACTCAAGCAGCACCAGACAAAGAGAACCCAACTTTATGGGACATAAGAGAAGATTACTGGAACAAAAATATCATGTAATGGCAGAGTCATAGATCTGCCCAATTTTATTACAACTACTAAATCTGCCTTAATTAGCAACATCTTCTATATAAGCATCAAAATAGTTTAATTCTTTCTCAAAGAAAAAACATAGTTTTAAGTAATCCAAGCATTGCTCTCAGTGCTGCTCCAATCTCAATACAAATAAAAAATATAGCTTTAAAGATTTTGTAAGACTGAACTGCACGAGCACTGGTGAACAGTTCTTTAGGGCAAAGGACCAGTTCAAGCTAAACCATAATTCACTCTTCTTGTCATCACAGCACCAAATCAATTCTCTTCTGCTGACATCTAAAAAAAAACAGCAAAGCATTACAAACTCTGATTTTTGTCTTCTTCACATTTGTAAAACTCAGACTCAGCAATATGGAAAGGAGAACTAAGAATTCTAGATATAAAAACCCAAAAGACACACCGATTTCACCTCCACAAATATCTTCCTATCTTTCAAAAGTTCATGAGAAATTTAACAGATTTAGTAAGAACAGCTAACCTTTACTTACTGCTGCCACTTCTAGAATTTGTACCTAAGCACTAAGGCAGGAAAAAGAACACAGTCTCTCCACAAGTCTACTGTAGGTTTTTAGAAAACCTTCTCATGGGGGAAGACTCCCTCTGCCAGCTGAAAGGTCAGGACTGACCAACTCCTTTATAGGCTCTACAAGCACCAACACATTTCCCAAGTCAGACATTCCTCTCAGCTGACCTGCACTCAACTGAAGATCTCATTCATGCCTAAAACCCCTGCATGCAGGAGGCCATAGCTGCTTATCCTTTAGCCCTGCAAGTTTCCTTCTTAAGTTAACTGTTTTTGAAGCCAGGTTAAGTCCCTGTCAGAATGACACCTTCATAGCTGTTGTGCAGGCAAATCCTTATGAACATCATTTCCAAGAAGTAGGAAAAGAAAAGGACAAAAATGTAAAAGTTCAGAAGCTAAAACAACCCGACAGTCTTTTGCAAAGGTAAAGGTTATAGCAAACATACCTCAGCCCCTCTGCAGGGACTTCTAGAAGTTAAGATGTGTGTGTCTAACTTGCTGAAGCTGCACCACAATCATTAAAAAGCCATGGCAAACACAGCAGGAACAACAATCTTTGTTCTGGCCAGACTCAGTGAAACCCTAACAATGTCCCCACTGGGCCCATATTTACAACAGATGTGAACCTCACATAAAAGCCCTTGGTTCCTAGAGTACAATGCAAATCAAGAATGAAAGTTGAAACTTTGACAAAATCTAGACCATAAGCATCTCTGATACCTGTCATGACTATTCTACTAAAATGAAGCTATAAATTGCAGTTTCTTATTTATTTAAAACGATGAATGCAGTGACCATTTCTACAGGAGCAATAAACTGTTGCTGGATTAGAAGAGCTCACAATTAGGTTGCATTTGTATGTCTCTTCAGTGTCATCAAACCAAAGTGCATATTTTGTAAAAAGCAAGTTATTTTTCCACTAGTCAAGCTTCAAAAAACGTTGGATGCATCTCTACAAGAAAACACCAAGTCTCACTTTCTCTCTGAAACATATTCAGATATAACATTCATAAATGAAAGCTGGAAGTAGGACAAGCTGGAACAGAAATAACTGCATCTCTGCTATGTATTTAGATTTATTTCCAAGAATAACTCTATTACCATAGAACTGCATAGATTTTAACACCCATGTCCAATTTCAAGCATACTAAAACAATAAAATTTTACTTTAAAAAAAGCTTCCACTGCTTTTTAAAGCTTGAATAGGAAACCATCAGAAACTGACTTCAATTAGCAACAAGTCAAACTCACACAGCATTCTTTTTGAAGAGTTTGATTCAGTACCTTTAATACTGTTTAATATCTTCTCCCATTAGCAAATAATTCTGCTTTTATATATACACCCACAAAATTTGACTGCACATACCTGAGAAACACCTGTGAATTCTGATCCAACAGAACTGTCTGTAAACTGTGTACCATTTAGTGAAACCTGGAAAAAAAAGTAACAACAGATTGGTGACAATAGCTGAGTTTATTGCTAAAAGAGCTTTATAAAAATTAAAATCTTCCTCCGTATCTGAAGATTGATAAAACAGCTTTTGAAACCTGAATCAAATTTGTTCAACTGTGGAGATGGAAGTCGTCTTTTTTATAAAAAAGTTCTACAGATGCAAAAGTTTGGATTTTAAACTTTTGCACTATAGCAGTTTCAGTAGCAACTCAGCTGAAAGAACTGATACAGGAAAACAGAAAAGTCATAAGCAAGACTACATTTTTCCTTCAGTATTTGATTGTTTGCATTTAGCTTTTAAACGTGTACTGCAAATCAAAACAATTAACAAAGATTCTTGCTTTTTGAAAGTTGAATACCATTCTGCTTAGAAAAAATATGCAGTGTTAACCAGCAGAGTATTCCACAGCAAGCCTCGCAGTGGCATTCAGCGATTGCAGTGCAGCAGCTTCCCTCCTGCCCCAGGTTATAACTCATACAGAAACCTCCGAGATCTCTTCTACATAAGTGTTACAGAGACTACACCAGACAGCAATGAATTGCCTTTTACAAGTCCCAAGTGTTCTCTCACAGCATTATCTGAGGACACTAAATCATGAGTAAAGTCAAGACAATGTAAGAATTCAAGTCAGTGACAATGAAGAGCTCTAGATCATACCAACTTGAAGAAAAGGCATTTCTAAAATGGGAAAGGAGAAATTTTTTAAAAACAGGAAAGGAGAAATAAAGTCAGTCAATTATTTTAGTTTCTCCTTCTTCTTGAGCACCGGTTGAGCTTTTGAATTTCAGATACCAATTATCTCATGCCTCTGTTCCACTTTTCACATTTTTTGTTAAATTCTTTTTTGCCCTCCAGTTTCCCACCCGTTGCTGTTGGATATCAGCGTTTTTAAAACTACTCTAAAGACCACAATAAAACCAGTCTGTCTGACCAAAAACCCCACATCTTGTGTGCTGTATTGACAAGATTCAGAAAATATTTCTGCCCTGGGCCCAAACCATAAACTCTAATTGGAGCTGTCCTCAGTGCAAAGGAGCATCCTTCAGTTTTATCCATCTCACAGCATTCCAACTGCCCAGTTTAGAGACAGGGAGACTATTGCAAAGCCACTGCCTTCAGCTGAATTTTTCCAAAGGCAAAGTGGGGGATTGTCAAATCACTACTAGAGAAAATACAAGTAAGAAATTGCACTATTTCACTTCCATACCCGATGCTATCTTTCCAGAGTAGATATTTAAGAAAAAAACCCAAGCATCTCAGGTCTAAAATTATGGGAACAAAAATGCTGATGTGGAACAAGTTCCCTATTTTTATTTAGACAACTTCCAAAAAAAATTTTTAAAAAAAGGGTTGTTTGATGAAAACAAGTCTTCTTCATCAAGGAAAGATATCCTTCAGTCTGGAGGTCCACTGGTTACTGGCATGCAAATACATTCAAAAATAAAGAAACCAGTATGAAATTTTAGAATTAAATAGTTATCTGCAGTTAAAAACATATTTTTGGGGAAAATTAAGAAAAAGACAGATTTATCCAAAGACATTACTTATTCATTAAGGGAGTACATTTACCTTCTTTACATTCAAGACAGTGATACTGAGAAATACATGAGCCATCACATTGAAACACGCAGACATTGAGTGACCAAGGTAAAGGTACTCAGAAATGTTACAAAAGTAAAGACAAAAACAGTGGGAGGTTTTTGTTATCCACTAAATGTCACAGCAAGCCAAGACAAAATACTGAATATCAGGAATGACTGCTACATGGAACAATCTGTCAGAAAAGACATCTCTTGATCCTAAGCACTGTGCAGAATTTGCTTAAAAATATTGGTGTAACCCTCCCCCAGAATTTAATAGTGACCTAAATATGTGCAGGAGGAACAAACACCAAGAAATTTAAGGAAAGGAATTAGACAAATACGAGGAAACAGAATCATCAAAAACTAAGTGTCTGTAGGCAATGAATTATAAGACATTGCATGTGAGGCCTAGAGGAAATACAAAAATCACAAAAAAAGAAAGACTTAAGTGGGGATGAATAATGACATGACAGGCAAGGAAGGAGATGGCTAAATAACTTATTAGAGAAAATATTAGAAGAATCTTGTAAAAGTTGTCCAAATGAGGCTCAAACAATAGCAAGTTAAAAAACAAAGAAAATATGAGACAGTCACACAAATAATGTAGGGAAGAAAAAACGAGTATAAAAACTACAACTAAATCCTTTCTTGAGGCACATGAGAAGCAAGGAGCTTGTCAGGATCGGTAAGGCTACAGTAAGAAAACAAATAGAAGCATTTTAAAAAAACTTAGATAGCCTAAAGTCAGGGTGATTTTGCCCAGAATTATTTTCTGCATGTTCATTAGGGAGGAACTTGAAGATATTCTCCCAGTGAAAGGCCTTTACAGAATATGCATTAGAGGATCTGTTTCAAAGCAAGGCAATGCTAGGAAAAAAAATACCAACAAAAACAATACAGAGAAACTGGACAAGTGAAAAATTAGCAAACCACCAAGAGTGGATGACATTCAGCCAAGAGTCCTAAGGAAGCTCAAGGATCTCAGAGTTGCACTAATAATTTCAGTATGTTACTGCTTGCTTTCTGTTTCACTAGTACTAGAGGAACAAATTATTTTTAAAATGTATTTATTAAGCTTTCAAAAGACAAACTGCAGTTATCCAAAATCTTTAACAAGAAAGTGCCTGAGATGACAAAGTTAGCTAATAGCTCTAAATTCTTCATGTAACTAAAGAGACTGGAGAATGGCAGAAGGACCTTCCAATATCTGGTTACTGTGCCATATGTTGACAGATATAACTCTGTGGGCAGAGAATTCAAGTGGAAGTGACAATCTATACAGCTGTCACTTCTGGATTACTCTAACTTTTAAAATGTAATTTAAAAAGCCTTATTTTTTTCATACCTAAGTATAATTTCTTTAATGATTTTTTGTGTTTTAAAAAGCTATTTTGTGAAGGTAAATGCCATAAGGAAGGCTGACATGGATGATGAGGAACATCTGAATCTCCACAAGCACTCTACACCATAATGAAAAGCATGTGTGAAGTAGTTCTGTTCTTACTATAAATTTCATTCACAATGGAAAATATATAGGGAAATATATCTTGTGTTTCTTGGAAGTTACTGTCACACAAACCCATCTTCTCCAAAATGTTGATTTTCCTGGAGAATAATGCATGTAACACCTTGGCACAGCATAATTCATACCAGAAAGCAGGAAGAAAGAGGGAATCACAATTTAAACAATACTGCCTGATTACACAGGAATGACCTTGAAGAACCAGTTGAGCAATTAGAAAATAAGCACTCAGAGACTGCCATAATTTGCTCTAATAGCCTGTCACTATTGAAATCAGACCTTCAGGAGGCTGAGTGACACATTACTAGACAACACATCCCCATCTGTCTCGCAAGTGAATCCTTGTGAAGCGACACAAACATCATGAAAGTGAGAGTGATGCAAGATCTCAGGAGAGCTCACAAAAAGAAAAGCACAGGAAGGAAATTTAGATTCAATTCACCATCACAGAACCCTAAACTGTTAAGAAAAAAAAGGCAAGATTGAATCGAACTTCTCCCAGAGAAAAACAGCGAGGATAAATTGCACTGATTTTCCCAGCTGCGTTGGGAAAGACAGATCAGAAAAAAAACGTTACCAAGAGACAATTACAGCTACACTTATTTCTACAAGGTCCTAGTATAATAATTGTATTCCATACTACTTGAATCAATTATCTTATTTTTATATAGGGAGGAGTTTGTTGAAACATCTGTCAGTATCTGAGTAGCCCTAAACAAACTTCAGCCTGCTTCTCCTCCCAAAACCCATCCAGATGTCTGGTCCATGCCATGTGTTCTCCTGCCTGCATTTTCAAGCCAAAATCCATTTGCCACAGCTCTCCGGTGCTCAGGCTTGCCTCAGGCACTTAGAGCAGTGCCCGGAGCAGCTCTACCTCACCTCCCACTGCCATCACCCACCACGCTTTGGTGGCAGCACTCTCGAGTCCCACTCTCTGCTCAAGATCTCCCTCCCTGCAGCCCCAGTGAAGCTCCAGCTTGGGCACACTCCAGTCACAGCCCAAGCTGTTTCTCTCTTCTCCCAGACACAGCTAAATCGGTGACAGAACTGCTGCTGGCAGCTGAGTGACGCTTTCAAAATCCTAAGTGACTTGCAGATATGAAGAATGATTTCTTTATGCCTTTAGTTCAACAGGTAGCAAACAATCTGATTTCAGTAAGTGAAAATGTAGGATTCTTCCCCCCTAACCCAAACTGATTTAATGATAAGCCATTGCAAACGTCAAATGTCTGGTGGATGAGGGGAAAGAATGATGATAAACGCATCAGAGGGACATTCAACAGTAAGTAACAAACAAAATGTGATGCAGGACACCTCGGGACTGCTAAGACCTGTGAAGGCACACGGGAGGAAGATGACACATGCACTGTAGTTTTCCTCATTCTCTAGTAGCAAGCACTGTCAGACAGGACAACACACTGGCCAGACCTCCAGCACAGCAAGGCTTTGGGGTTTGCTTTAAACACTGCTCCCAAACACAGGCAGGAGTGACTGCAGCCTCTGCAAAACACGTATTACAGCACTCAAGAGATATTATGATGTAAAACACAGCAAGTGAACTATCAACACTTATCCCTTCCTTAATCCTCTTCTAAGTCCACATTATACCCAGTTAACATCTGGTATAACCCAGTTTTTCTGAGGAAGAGCAAACTGAAACAGCTCTGCTTGGCAGTGTCCTGACTCTCGCCTATGAGATGTATTTCAACATACTGATTATTTTCCATTTGCTTTAAGAACCCCATGAGCATTTTTAAAGGCATTGGAAGTATACTACCATGACACTAAGCAAAATACTGCCTGGTTTCTCACAGAAAAGCTCGTTTTGTCCATAATCGGGACACACCAGTGCCATGCACCACCTGAAAGTAAGAATTCCCGCACCAAAATGCCGTAAGCCCTGCAAGACATCAACTACTGCAAAACTAAAGCAAATCAAAGCATATGCCAAATAAAATATAAGATACTCTAGAAAAATAGGTGTATTCCATTATTTTTCATCAAAGTACTTGTTAAGGGTGGTCTAATACTGAACGGAAACAGTCCAGGGAGGTCTTGGGATCAGATGAATGATCACCCAGAATTACAGCCAGGAATCCTCCTGGAGAGGATGACCACATCCAAATACTTATGGTCAGTAACAACACGGCCAAGGAATGCAGAAGTGTCCTCTGTCACAGCATGCCTGAGCCTGCTGTGCTGCAGCTGGGCTGGCCCAAAGTCACTGATGGTCCCTGTCCATGGTCATCACAGTCTAACACCCAAGTGGAGGTGAACAAGAAACTTTGCTAATGGAAGGGAAGATAAGAACTCTGCAGAGTACCTATTTTTCATTTTTAAATAACCACCAAAAGTACAATAGCTTTTGTAGTAGGAGAGAATGACCTCTAAGAAAAGCATACTAAAATGGTATTTTTAAAAATATTAAAGGCAAGAGTTTTCTTCCAAGCACTGGAGCAAGGAGAATGCAAAATTAGCATGTCCAACAGTGGGCAGGAAAATTATCAGTAAGATGTAACATATTTCCAGGCTCATTGGCATAGCAACATTCAAGCAGCTATCAGAGTCTATTATTATTGGTTTAGAGGGGGAAAAAAAAAATAAATCAGTATTTTGCCATCAGTTATACAAAACTTAATTTCAAAGACTTTTGAATCAGTAGCTTGAAAATAGGCAAATGCTTGATGGATAAAAGGGAGAAGTTTGAAGGTCCCTACTCTACAGGTAGCTATGGTTTAGCACGAAGCAGTAGTGAAACATGTCTCAGTGGGGGAGGAATAAAGACCACCAAATAGTTTTATTAACTATAAAGATAAAAGATGAACAAACCACCATAGTATTCCTGCCCTGATCTAGTAGAAGCAGGAGTTTTGCTTAAGAAATGGGCAAATATCTAAATTTTTCATGCCACAAGCACACATCTCTAGAGACTGAACAGAATGTAGTTGTACGCCCTAACACAGACTTGCTTGCCAAGGAGTCTCAGGATTATAGGACAGACACTGACAGATGAAGTGGTCACTGATTATCTGCAACAGTCACCAACAAGGAAAGTTGTGAAGGCTTCCTATGCAAAAAGATCCTTAATTTTATTAAGGGTGCCAAAGTACCAAATAAAAACCAGCACAAGGAAAGGCAAGGTGATAATAATTTAAGTTCAGATATCCCTATTAAGGCAGCCAACACTTGATTTGGCCAATTGAAAATTAATTAATAGTCTGCAAATTGATTAACAAGCATTATCCTTTCCCAGCCTAGCCTGAATTATTCTAGTGTAGAAAAAAAAACACACATAAATAAGTCAGTGATACCACAAGTCAGTCCTTAGTACTTCTTTAAAAAGCTACTGGACTACACAATTTCAGAGTACCTTTAAATCTCTATGCCAATTATCAGGTATATAAAAAAGTGAAAGCTGAGAAAGAACAAGCATTTCAAGGAGAGTTACAAGGCTTTTGTGACTCTCCTGATATTTAGATTTTTAAAAAAATTTTATATTACTCTCAAATATAGATAAACTAGCATTTAGATAGGACATAATTCAGAAGAAGGAGAAATACAAGTTGCCAGAAGCTGAACAGTCAAGAGTAAAGCGTTCATGAGAAGCTTGTCAGAGCTCCAGAGGGCAAAAGCTCTGCACATCAACACAGCCAGCATGCTGGCTCAATCCTTACTTATATTGGTGTCTAGTGCACAGCACATCCATGTTCAGTAGCTACAGTACTTAGCAGAAATCATTAGGAAACAGATTTGCTGCAGAACACCACATGAGAAACATCAACCAGCTCTGAAAACCAGCATGTTAGTGATTCATGTACCATCTCCTGTACATGAATTTGGATGGAGCAGGTTGGAAATCCTGTGACTGTATGTAGCACTCACCAGCCCTTGGTACCATGCTCCCTCCATCATGCTTAGCCAGAGGGAATTACACAGCCAAGGGCTAAACACAGGAAATTACCTATGAAGATGGAAGGAGGAAGAGAAACAATGCTGGGTCAAAGAAAGATTGTTCATCTAACTTGAGAATTCACACTTGCTTTGTTTGTAAAGACAAGCAAGGGACAAACATGCAGAGCAGAGAGCCAGTGTTACACTCAACTGCAAACCCAAATACTTGCAAGGAGCTAACAAGGCTGTTGAAGTCACTCAGTTTAGCCCTCCAAGAGGTAAAGTATGCTATAACTTCATATTAGGGACAATACATTAAGATAAAGATATATTTGGCAATAGACACTCATCATATTAAACCAAAATTAGGTACTCCCTATCCCAGCATCTTTACAGAAAATGCTTATGAGCAAAAGAGCTTCTGTCTCTTTTGAATTGTGCTACAACCAAAACCAGCTTTGTAAGATCACAGGTTAAATCCTCTTTAGCCAATATAACTAACAGTCTTCTTACACAAATAATGAGAAAAAATACATATAAAATCAGTATTATGAGATTTCAGTAATTTTAGTGACATTTCTATTGCAATTTTCATCTCTTTTATGTAATAACATTGACTTCCAGTGTTTTCCTTATTATGTAAAATCAGAGCATTACAGAATCTGACTAACCTGCAAGACAGGTTCTCTGAA